GTAGAGCATTGGTCCTTAGACCTATTGGTTGTGGGTTCAATCCCACCACGACCTATGTCATCTGCTCCCACTGATGTCTGCTGTCATTGTGTCCCTGGGCAAGACACTTAACCCCACTTTGCCTGAAGCCCCTGCTGGAACACCAAGGCAGTATCTGCATAGAAGGAGCGGCCATCTTCCTGTGTGGACCCACCACCTGCAGGAGGATCAGCGAGGGACTGGTGCTTTGTGAAACATAAAACATGCCATGGACCAATTATTGAAGGCATGCCGTTGTAAAGAACCTCCTTTGACTGAAAAAATTCCCATAACTAAAACTCAACCAATACGCTTCTTTAAAAAGGTAGAAGCTATTTTTTTCTGTTGTTTGCATGAATTCAGCAAATACAACTTCAGGTTTGTAAAAGACATTTTTAATGTGTGCTTTAAAACGTTTAAACGTGCCGCTTTTAATACCAGTATGCAGCAAACAAACAATGGCTTATGCAAAATACAGTAGATGTCTGAATATACTTGACCTTTACATAAAGCCAGGGTACCTATACTAAAGCCCCAAGATAACGTTTTCTAATGATGAGACACAAAAGGTTTTCGTCCGAATTATCCATAAATGTTATTCTTACAAAACTCTTTCTGTTGGGAAAAACAACATGTATTATTTACAAAACAGTTAGGTACCCTCGCTTTAGCATCTTAAACAGAAGACTCTTGCATCGCTCTTGGTCCGCTCTCACTCAATTCTCCAACAATTGAAAAGACACATATCTCTCTATACTCCACTGTGCCTAGTTTAAAACACTCATGAATAATTCAATAGATCCCAAAGTGCACTATAGGATTGTGAGTGCTATATCGCAAAAAGGGAAGAACACGAAAGCGACAGAATAAAATCTCAAATCACGCCCTCTGGCCCTTTGTGAACGCGCACACTGAAATCCATTAGTCCAACGCGATTATCTCCAGCCACTGAAATTAATTGAGTCAAATGCAGTGTGTGTGCAGAGGTCTGGCGGCCTTGATACAGTCTCTCTTTTATTTATTTTTGTATTTTTTAAGCCCAAATCCTCTTGTCCCGTTCGACGAGGCAGATGGTGGGGGGGATTGGGAACAGGCCTGCAGCTATTACAACACTGCAGGTAGTCGTGAGCTGCAAGCAATTTCATGACTCACTGTATTTCACCTTTTTTTGTCGAATCATTTCTCTCTGAACAGTGCTCCAGTTTACAGTTCTCTTTATGTAAAGACACGACAGGAGTTTCTCTATATAATTACTAAATCAATGTATTCAATAACTAATGGACGGACCATAATGTTTCTCAGTATTTATTGTAAAAAAAATTATGCAGATATTTGCTATTTTCTTAGGCAATACATTTAAGCTGAATGACTGACTTTTCTGGATAACTAAGGCATTATTTTGACTAAGTAGGTGATATTGGATCACTAAAGCTGTGTTCCCACAGCGATGCATGGATGTGCGTAGATGGAGGCATGGACGCACGCTCACTAAAAATCAGCTGCATGAGTTTAGTCAATCTTCCGTACTGCCCAACGCAGGGCGAAAGTGGTGGGCGGGCTCTGATGCTAATACCGGTAGTTCCGCATTGGCGAACACATTAGCAACACATGTTTAGTCAGTCACAGTAGAATGTCAACTCAGGGTGAAGACATATGTTCACAAGCACTGTGTCCCCCATTGTCAGCCCTGGTTTAATCCTGGTTGAGCCCCTGTTTTGGTTGTTTTCGAGTGTGTGTTTGGACCGGCTTGTTTCCCTGTGAACATCCTCTCTGATTGGTTGCTGCTCGTGTGTGAAGTGAGGATATTCATCCCATGCTTTCGCTGCATGCATCTAGCCGCCGTACCCACCGCCTCTTCCTCGCAGCAACAAATCCCTCCAATTAAAATAATTATTAATTCAATTGTTCAACATGTGAAAACGCCTGTCGACAAACCTCAATGAGAACATCTGATATAATTGCACATTTCACATTGTCTGTACGCCGTATAAAGCGTGATATTGAAAATTGGATGATCAAATTAAGTCATTTGGAGGAGGTGATGTATTAGAGAAGGCTGACAGTTTTATTAGGTCTAATGCGACAGCGTAATCCAGCGGAGCCTCCCGTCTTCAGCTGTAATCTTTAATGTACGAGCCCTCTGCAGCAGGTTCCCTTGTATGAAGCTAAAGCCCAGAGCCAGAGCATCACAGTAATCCACTATAAGGCTCTTATATGACTAGATGAATTTCACTATGAGAAAGGGAAAGTGCGCTAGAACTGCCACCAACACAGAAGACCAAAAAAACTGCAAAGAACAAATATTATGCATTATCATCTTGAGAGAGCCTCATTCCCACTGAGCAACACGGGCAGAACAACTCACCACTAACCCGCCTTGTGACGCAGTCTTTTTAATTACGAGATAAAGAGATTCTTTATTTCTCCCGGAATGAGGAGCACACAACTCAAGAGAAGTGAATATAGTGACTATAGCGAATAGATAAGTATGGCACAACTCTATACTGTATACTCTGTGCAAGAAATGTATACTTGTATGTATACATCTGTAGATAAATCAGTAATATATTCTAGTGCAGACATGTTAAACTCAAGCTCGTGGGCCAAATCCGGCCCGCCAACATGTTTTGAGTGGCCCCTAAAATGGCTTTCAATTATTATTATTAACTTGCAGCATTGATGTTTATGGGCTGAAAATACGAGTGAATCTCATGTCACATAAAAGTCATGTAAAAAAACTACCTTTGTAATGTAAAAAACAATTATAAGAGAAAAGGAAATCCCTTCTATCCCTTCCCTTTTTGTATTCGGTCCTCGATCAAAATTAGTTTGACACCTGTGTTCTAGTGCAGGAATATTTTCTCTATGTCAGTCTGTACAATAAGTAAGTAAAAAATCTTAATTTATTGGTATTAGTCTGTTCCTACATTAGCTTATCCACAAAATAAAACTCACATCTTTATGGCCAAAATGTAAAGTCTGTCCCTATTAGCTATAGAGCTAGCACAGCACAAGTCACACATGGGACAACACTTTAGCACATGCTGCTATTTCTTTTACAAAGTTGTGCTCATAAAAATATGTTTGAAAAAGTTAATTTTGCTTCATGTGGATGATAAACTTGCTGTAGTATTATTTTGACCCTCTGGTCCTGGTGCACTGTGCTGTAACTTTACTTTAAGACTTAGGTGGTGTTTACACGGAGACGTTGTGAGAGTTAAATGTTAGACTTGGGTACGGTTTGGCGTTCCGTTTACATGAAGAAGGTGTTTCAGGGGGTCAAAACGCAAGCATTGAGAAACAATTTGTCCCGGTCCTTCTCGTGGTGAAAAGCCGACATAGGTCTGCAGTATGAAAACACCAAAAGTTAGAATGAACTATCCAGTCACTTTACTGGCTATTTATTCTGTGCGTGTGCAAACCCCTATTGCAAATGACATTCTCTCTTATTTGTACATACATTTTAGTTGTTATCCCAGAATAGTCACAGTTGTTAACATGTTTAACTACACTGACATTTCCACTGTGGGCACAATCCACAGATAAAGGTTTATTGACAAATGAATGCTCTATTATTTATCCTATTTTCTGTCTAACATAACTATTCTAAAGCGTATTGGACACATAAACTCAGGAATTCATGGACATTATACTGATCGTCTCCTTCATTGGTAGATAGATACAGTAGATGGATAAAACAACCACATCATGTATTTTACTAAAGCCAAAAATAAGCTGCTAACAAAATCCACAAATAGAAAGACTAGATTTACGCTAGATTTGTTTAAGTTAGTTAATAAGTTCTTCTTTTTCTCTTCAAACCTACCTTCATCAACCCTAACCGATCAAAAAACAGCCTTAAATAAATCTGCCATTTAAAATCAGCATCAGCATCGGCCTCAGAAAACCCATAGATCTCTGATTCCAATCTCCTTTTTTTCAGATTTGAAATCCGGTAACGCAGCTTTAATTGCATTGAGGAGTGTCAAGATACTAAAACTGCAAACTCGCTACTCACAGAGAACAGTTATTTTTATGATGCCACAAGGTTGCAGATTAAAATCTTATTTTGCGGAAAGGTCAAACGTGAATAGTTGTGAATATTTTTGTTTGCATATAATTTCTCAAAATAGTATCTAGTTTCGATACCAGTTTTGATATAAATGAATATGTGATTTTCAATTTGCCAATCCTAACAAAAAGTAGTACCACTTGGCTTGCATTTTAAAGTGGACCAGAGCATTCAAGGTGAATATGAGGAAATCCCATTTTGTTTTGCCCCATAAAACATTAATAAAATCTGTGAATTTGAGATGTGAGATGCGTCCTTGCCTGTAAGCACTCAGACTGTAAGGTCATAGAGAGACAAGGGCCAGAGACAAGAGCAGCTGGAGCCACATTGATCTGTCTTTATGGGACTCCTTCTCCTGTCCTTGCTCTTTGGCTGACAGATGGCAAGATAATGGCCATTACAATTCTCCTTATTGAACTCATCAGTGCAGCCTCTATCATACAACAAAACTATACCGAATATTGTATTAGTCTATTTTTAAGGAAAAGCCTTAATGGCATTTTGGCACAATATGGAAATCCCCATAATGAAATGAAAAACTAAAGTATCTGTCTAGATGCAATGAAACGTGGATCTTATCTTACCCTCATTATAAGGAAAATACATAAATATATATCTACAAAGACAAGATGCAGGCCCGGGCTTGGCGCAGCGCTCAAAATGCAACCAGAATGTAAAGCTGCACACGAAGCCACTGTTATGTCTGTCTGGATTTGATTGAACACACGCGCGTCATTGCGTTTATGGGCCCTGCATTTACAAATTAAACGATGTACCAGATGCACAGTGCATGCCCACGATAGAGATTTTTTGAAATCCACACATTTCCATTCACCCGCAACAGCCGCATTGCAATATATGTGCACATCATCATAAACGCGCAATTGTAGTTTATATTTTAATTTCTTACCTTGACGCTGTTTCCCCACGCGAAGACGCACAATATGAATACGTGTACTGCAGTATGTCCCATTTCTCCTCTCTCCGTGCTGTCACTCGTGTCGGTGGATCTGGGAGTAACAATGCTCACATAAATGGTTGGATGAGGCGTCGTTTGGTTACATGGGTCGCGGTGATGGGTGTCTTTGGAGGGTATCCGCTCTCTCTTGTTTTGCGCGAGTGGATGGAGTCTAAACCAAGCCCTGTTTCTGCGGCGGTTTGGGGGAGACAGACGCGCGTCCCAGCGGTGGCGCGTATGGACTGGTAGAGGACGGCCTCTGCTGGTGGGCTGTGTGTATTACAGTAAACAGGAGAATCGGGCAGATATTGTGGGAATTGATAAAAAGCAGAGGTGGCGCATTTACTTGATTTGGTCCAATCTGAATGATTATGTTTCATACAATTTTTGCAATAAGTCTCCCCTTTACATCAAAATATGTTGTTTGTTGTTGTGAAGACAACACCATTGACAAAAACAACAACACAAAAACGTATTGCGTGGGTTTCTTTTCCTTTTAATCTAACAGACCACTATTATTATTACAATTCTCTCTTTCCTACGGACACAGCCTGTACTTTCAGGACCCAGCACACTGAAACATCTCTTCTGGTCAGGCCGCCACCTCTCTACTGCCATCTTCTGGAAACACATGGTCACGTACGTATAGAGCAATATTTACAATCATTTCACATTCAGGTACAAGTGCAAGACATGCACTTTTTAAACCCAATAACAATAACTGAATAATAAATCTTATTTTATTTACACATTTATAAATAAAAATATCAGACCTTTTTCCCCAAAGGTCTTGAATGAATTGCAACAATACTTGTTGTTTGTTTAAATCAACAACTCTTGTCAATGCAATTGAAACAACAGAACAATTAAACTCAACATCCACAACACAATAACCAGTGATTGAAGTTTTCACTACTCAGGTGTTTTAACATTTAGTCCAGTTTTGGTTTAAGCCAAACAAAACCAAAAGTAATATAGAACACCAATATTAATAGAATAATAATTTGCTCAAAATAAAAAGGTTCAAACAAAATATTAACCACAAACACAGAAAACACTGGATATTTTATCATAAAAGCAAGAACAAACATCCATCCATCCATTTTCTTCCCCTTAATCCATTTCTGGGTTGGGGAGTGGCAGTCAGAGCTGCAACCAGTACACTTAGCACCAGCCCCTCACTGATCCTCCTGCAGGTGGTGAGTCCACAGGAGCTGAGATCTTTCAGTTGGGGCTTTGGGCAAAGTAGAGTTAAGTGTCTTGCCCAAGGACACAACGGCAGCAGTAATCAGTGGGAGTCGTGAAGTAGGTCTTACGGTGGGCTCGAACCCACGACCTTCAGGCCCAAAGGCCAATGCTCTACCAACCGAGCTACTGTCGCCCAAGAACAAACATGTGTTGCCAAAATCAATAACCGGGTTCTGGACTAAAAAGTAAGTCAAAGTCACTCAAAGTAGTGAAAATTGTTATGTTTTATTATAAATATGTTGCATTTTTATCTTAGTACAAAAATGTTAGAATGTTAAAGTAAAGTAACTTACCAACACTGATATGTTGTGAAAACTATTCTGATAGCTAACAACAGTACATCAGAGAATCAAACAGTTCAAACACAGTAAATGCAATAATGACTCACATATACGAGCCATTGGTCCAGAGGGAGCAACATGACCAATGTTTATAAATAAAACAACATGTTAAATGTTTATAAATGTCCTTAAATTGATCATACATCACTGTCCTTCCAGAGCCTTCTCCTGGGGGTGCTCGAGCCCCCAGTGGCATAACCTAGTGGCAGATCCTGGCAGATACAGATACAACAAACAAACAACAAATACTGTATACTTTAGCCAAATTATGGTTATCTGAACTTAGAAGCACCGCTAACCACAAGGAAACACCACAATTGCTATAACATATAGAGCCATGGGTAACACCCCTACACAAAACAATTATAATTTTGTATATTCTTCAATTTTTTTTTAAAGCTGGGGTACCATCCATCCATCCATCCATTTTTGATAGACCTATGATAGAGGCCAAAAATACATGTAGTGATGTAAGTTCTGGAACCAAACTATTTTGAGAGTGAGGAGCACGTTTGAAAATGAGTTACCCCAATTTTAAACATTTAATGGTTTCCTTACCTTGAGTTACTGTATCTACTTGAACCATCCATCCATCCATCCATCCATCCATTTTCTTCCGCTTTATCCGTTGCCGGGTCGTGGGGGCAGCAGTCTAAGCAGAGACGCCCAGACTTCCCTATCCACACACACTTCCACCAGCTCGTCCGGGGGGACCCCAAGGCGTTCCCAGGCCAGCTGAGAGACATAGTCCCTCCAGCGTGTCCTAGGTCTTCCGCGGGGCCTCCTCCCGGTGGGACGTGCCCGGAACACGTCCCCAGGGAGGCGTCCAGGAAGCATCTACTTGAACCATGCTTGTAAATAGCAAAACAAAAATGAAGGGGTTGAAAAAAAGAGATAAGAAAAACACATGATTTGTGTTATTATATAGTATATAGTGCTCCTACATAGGAGAAAATCCAAAAAAAGAAAATCATCACATTTCTTTCTTCTAGGAGTGAAAAATAAAAGGGTAATATTCCCTATAAATGCCACAACTAAGAATTTATTTTGCCATAACTGCACAACATTTCTGCATGACGGGCCTCCACACTCACAGCCTCCCACGGGCCCCACACGCCTCGCTGCGGCCCTGCTCATCTCTTAGACAGGTGGCCGCGCGCACCTTGCTCCACGCAGGTATCTGGGCGTGGATTGGGCTCGAGTGAGGAAGCGTTCGCCCCACTTCCAAACCGCGACCAAAACGTCAGATAAATTCAATTCATACTTTCGTTTAAAGCAGTTATAGTTTGGTTTTGGACTTGGAGCGCGGATCCCGTGGTCAGGCCAGAGAGAAAGGTCGAGCGGGGGAGAAGCAGGACGGTGTAGCTTGGGTGGAGGTGGTGGGGGTGGAGAACCTTCCACTGTGAGATGCATTCTGCCAGATATGAATTCGACGTAAGTTTGTTTGTGTGTTTAATTTTCAATGTTTTTAATCTACTTACAACAACTTTTGAGAATTAAACCAATATAATGGATTAGAGCTGTCAAATAGTTTATCAAAATATAAATGGCATTGGCCAATATTGCCTTTTTCAATGTTTTTTTTTTTGCTTTTATAACTTTTTTTTAGGCATTGTACATTAAGACCATTCGCTTAACAATGCCTTCAATCTAACTTATTTTTTAGTGTGAGACCTGCTGTCAGTTCATATGCATATATTTGAATTATTAGTGTGGAGATTTAGTTTAATTTGGTCTTTATTTTTTTATTTTTTTGATATTTAGTTTGATTCTTATTAACTTGACCTAAAAGCAAGGGTGGACAAACAATTTGGGTCACTCTTCATAGTTCTTAAAACTTTGAAAGCACCAAAAGATTTAACGATGTCATAAAATCCATGTATTTGTAACCAATTCCTCGCTCACAAAACTGTGTATCACGTTTGGCCTCTGTCACATCTTTAAATCAGCTTTTTCAGTGAAAAAGAGAACCAACCCCCAATCAGCTCTCAGTATGTGCATGCTTTCTCATTAGATGAAGACAGTATGGTGTGGTCTGATTTGTTCACACAATGTTATGTTTACAGGATTGTTTCTGTTGGGACAAACCTTTATTTATGAAACAAGCAAAACAGATGGTCCAGTTATATGCCATTGATCTTTTTGAATACAAATGTGGCTAAGTGGTGAATGTGTTTTCTTTTTTTGAGACGTTCAAACCATAGACTGTAAATATTAACGGACAGAGTCACGCCTATCTCCGCCATTCAAACAAATGTGCCAAAAAAATTGCTCTACTGGAGCTATCCAAAATGGCCGTGAGTGGTCCCGCCCACAAGAAAATTGTGAAAACGCATCTGCGCAAGCGTCAGCGCATTGCAAGCATGTTAGCGCACGTCATTTTGGCCAATTTTGAGCCGGGACCCGCCCCCACTGGTTCGAACCCCATTGCATTTACTTCCGCTTCATCTATTGCCGGGTCGTGGAGGCAGCAGTCTAAGCAGAGACGCCCAGATTTCCCTGTCCACACACACTTCCTCCAGCTCGTCTGGACGTTCAAAAAAATTTTTAACATATTTTGAATTGTATTTTTGTCTTACATGCAGGAGCATGTAAACAATATAAACACTTTTCACTTGTCTTACAAAAGAACCCTTCTCTCTGCTGCTCAGTTGTGCAAAACTTGAATTGTAAATTTTAAGTTCTGATACAATTATAGAGTATTAGAAATCTCTCTTTAGCTTGTTTCTTTGTTATGAAGTGCCTTTTAGTTGCATGAAAACAGAAGTTTAATCTTTAACGATATTAACCTGGTAGAAAGTGTACTCTCCCGGTCGCATGGCACTATATGCACACTGAATACTTGTCAGAGCTGCTCATTCATCCTCTCTAATTTCAAATTGTCATCAAACCTGTTACAGTAGTTGTAGAAGTTTGTATTGCAATGTTTTACATACATGCTATGACCTGACATCAGTGCTGTAATTAAGGATTTTTTGATAATCGATTTAGTTCGCCGATTATTATTTCAATTAATAAATTGCAGTAATTGCTGGACTGCAAGTTCTTGGATCTCTGCAGCCTTTTTAGCTATGCAGCCAACAAATGGATTTATATTTAGTTAGAATGTACGCTTGGAAGCGATCTGGACACTGCTATAATCAGCTGATGATGTAGTTCACATTCCTGCTTCCTGGTGTGTTTATGTGAAAAGCAGAGAGAGATGAGGAAGTGCACAAAAAAACAGAGGACTTGTTTTTATCTTTGTTGGAGCAGAGTTCAAAGGCTTTATGTACTTTACATGCAGTGAATGTGTCATATGTTAGTTTCACATTGTGAGTTGAATTGCAGATGCAAATGGACGTTTGGACGTTATGCCTCCTTACAGGTTGCCATATAGTGGCATTGAATAATTTTTCAAATACAGAGGATAACTAAAGTATAGCACTCCTTAGCTTATCTGGATCAAAATCTCTCCAAAAGGCTCAGAAAAGACCAAAGTAGAGCCGAGCCAAAAGTTGAAAGATCGAAATCATAATCTTGAGTTGAATTTATTTCACACCTGTACAAACTATATAAACAATGAATCTGAGACAGGCCAATATGGGGGAAAACATCCTCCTCCTTTATTCCCACATCACAGAACCAGTTTTAACCTGTTTTTTTGTGACACGTGCCCGTCTTTCCCATGGTAAAAATCAAATGCAGGTTTAAACAACACACATCTGTTTCTCAATGTTTTTTCGGGTCGACCCAGAATTTGACATGGGTCTAGAAGAGGCCTACACGGGAAGAGCTTACCTTTCCCAGATCAAAATCTTTCCTTAAATGCCCAATAAGGGATCATTTATCATGTCTGTGCTATTACTTTTTCCACACTGGCTAAAATGAGTATAGCTTCAATACTTATACTATTTCTGCAAAATGGACTAGATCTCAAAGTGTAAGATAAGATAAGAATTCCTTTATTCGTGGAATTCTGGTCACTGAAATGGGTCATGCATTCTGTTTCAATGATATATTGCTGCTTTTTTGATATAACATTATTTGATTTCACAGTGACAATTATTACCTGTATATTTTTTTAGCTTGTTTTATACCAACACTTTTTACCTTGTTTTCTTCATGCATTTGTATGGTGCAGACTGGGGACTTTAGCAAATGTGCTCCAATGTGGTTTTACTGAAAATGAAATGAATCCGAATGTGAAACGCATACATCTTTCCTCTATAGCTCTCTGCTCATTCTGTCTGTGAGTGAAGTTCTGTTCTCCACAAACTAAAACCCCACTTTAGTTTGCTCTGTTTCTAGCTCAGAACCCCGCCTCAGTAACTGCTTTTCCTCTGGTCAGACTGGTTCCACCGCTCCCTGACACCTCGAGCCAAACTCTTTCTTAACGATCACTTGTCAATGTGTTGTTTTATTCTGTTCAATATGCTCATAAAGTGACCCATGTTGGCTTGTTTTGAGTTCTGTAACCTTTTTATTGCTTGATTCTGAAATGGGGATAATGTGACTGTGCGCTTTTGGAACACGGCTGGGAATATTACGTCAACATTGAATGATTTACAAATCCTTTTATGGGCAGCCCAACAACATCTCTATGTCTGTTCATTCAGAAAAAGGCGGCAGGGTGGCTGAGTGGGTATAGAGCTCAGGCTTCAAAAGAAGGTTGTGGATTTGTTCCCATGTTGTGGAGTTTGCATGTTCTCTCTGTGTCTGGGTGAAATTCTCAAGGTGTGGTCCTGACAAACAGCATCTACATCTGGAGAAGAAAATGATCAGTTCAGTTCAATCCAAGCTCTAAATCACAACACGTATAAGAGAGGACTTTACAAAGTTGTTGATTAGCTAACAGATCAGAGAATCAAATTAACAGTTTGATTCTCTGATGGTTTGAACCAAATAATAAAAAAGGTATAGGAGCCATTGGTCCATACGGATGACCAATGCTCATAAGACAAGATATACTTTATTAATCTCACAGGAGAAATTTACATTATTATTTCTATTGATGCATTTATATTTAAATGATTGAAGATTATTTGTTTTTAAAGTTACCATTAAAGTTATTTTTCCCCCAAATAAAAGAATAAATTGGTTGAAAAAAAACAGTTCTAAATAACACATTGATATTGTATCCAATTTGAAAATATCAATACCAATATCTTTCACATCCGCTGTTGTCCTGAGAAGCCCCCCTCACATCTTCAGAAAGACTGCTCCATGTTTAAGCTGCGTAAATCTGAAACGGAGTCAAACTGCAACTTCAGTGCTGATTTAATTTAACCCTTTTGTGGCATTATGAGTCTTGGTTGGACTCTAATGTCTATTAGCCTGTGATCGCTGTGACTGATAGCCACAGAGCCCGTAGCACAAGCTGACCCCATCTCTAATGATTCTCCCCATTCTCCTCTATGATCGCCGTTAAAGATTCCAATTAGAAAACACGCATGGGGGTCCTGCCGCGACAAGAACAGCCCTTAATTGCCGTGAGTTATCATCTGGACTGGTGTAATTGAGCCTCCATCTTAAGGGCTAGCATATCTGACAAATTGATTTAACAGCAAAGTGATTTTCCATCCCTGTAATGGCTTCTTCAGTCACAGGCCACAGCCGCAGAATTCATTGTGTGTCGATTACGGACGGCTGTGAAACCTCTCTCCTCCGTGCCTTCCGCCGCACGCATTATTGACGGACTTTGTGCTCTCATAATTGCTGGAATACTTCTCTTAGGCTGATGCTTAAGCTGAACGTATGGTTTGAAAGAGCCGGGACACAAACAGCTTACACCAGTCCAGCTGTAACCACGTGTGCAGACTTGTTGTCAGATCTTGCAAAGTCCCATGAGTGTTTTGGACACGTTTTGACAGTTCTGTTCTTCATGAATAGTTCCAAACTCAAATCTAACTGGTTGGCTTTGTGTGTGTGTTTGTAAATGTATGTCTGTGTACAATATACAGTATTGGTTTTACCTTTTTGTGCTGTGCTCATTGAAAGATTTCCTTGTTTCATATTTTCTTGTTGGTTTCTATCTTGGTATCTAGATTCTAGGTTGCCAGATATGCAGAGGAATCCAGCTGGGAACAAAATATCTGAATAGAAAAGAGTTTATTCAGATCTACAACAAATCCATAACCAGCTCCTTTTTCACAAAGATAGAAATCCTTGTTTTATTCCTTATTTTGTCATTAATAATTAGAGAATCATAACTAGACCTTTTTTCGTACAGCAGCCACATTTTATTTCACCAGTGAGTTTAGGTTGACCCGGTGAGTTCTGGCAGGCCGGATCATGGACTTTCTGATTGGTGAAACGGTGGAGGGCTGTAAATTTAGTCTTGAAATCCAAATGGCCCGGCTGAACTACTGTTATTAGTTAAAGTAGTATTTGAAAAGTGCATGTTTTATTAATGCCATTTGACAAATTATGGCCATTTAATGATCACTTGACATGAAAATCTTACATATTGTTTTTAAGATTTCACAAGCCTATGTTAATAGGGAGAATGCGATACAATATCACAGTATGGTAACACTGATAAGTCATATGCCCCATCTAAATGTTAATAAACCAAATGAACAACAAAGCAATAAACATTATACAATAATTGAATACAGTTAGTTGAATGTTAAATAGCAGATTGTTTACCAATATCCTTTTTGGATTATTCTTTGAAGTAAAATAAATCATGTGGTTATTTTATTTGGAGAATAATCTTATAAAATGAGGTATAACATGCCATGGTAGCTGGTGGATGCTCATCTAACCCACGTACTTGGATTTAGCATATCTCTTAGCCATGAGACAACAATATTGGAGGATACTATGATGCAATATAGTACATATACAGTACAGTGTGATTTCATTTTTGCATTATTCTGGCACAACCTTATCACTAACTATTTGTACTTTTTCCATTTGCCTGCGCAGGGGCGGAACGGGCAGCACGAGCGGATCGACTTTCTCACCAACAAAGAGAAAGCGCGATCAAAGAACAAAACGGCCATCGCTATTGGAGTCCTGGTGGCGGTTCTCGTGGTGGCAGCTGTAGTGGCATTTCTCATCTGGCTTTTTGTCTGTAAGTACGATCCCCTCTCAAAACAAGAGCGTGTAATGACATTCTAATATGGCAATGTGGCGAGTTTCTTGACATAAGTGGTTGCCTTTCTGTCTGAAGTTGTTGATAAAGTGTCTCATTTAGAACAGTGTTTGAAGCTCCTGTCCTTTTGAAATTGCACAAGCTGTAAATGTTTTTGGACACAAGTATTTCCCATCAGTATTAGACATTTTTGAAAGCCAACAGTCGCAGAGAAGAAGGAAACTGCGCTCGCTCTTGGGGGATTTCTGATTTCCATTGATGGTTCAACAAACAGTGACTTGAATGCAACAAACTCTCGCTTTGTTCATGGAAACTCTAAAGGCCTTATTTTCTACTTTTCATTGTTATGATTCAATAGCCCACATTTGAAGTTATAGACAACTTAACATTTATGTCTGCTGTTGTCAAGTATAGTAGGAGTGTGAAGTTTCCTTTTTTTATGTTACAACATCAGACCTGGAGTTTAGTTTCAGATCCATCCACGCTGCCATCAGGAACTTCAGGCAGAAACAGTAACTAACGGTAACCCCTTCCACCTTAAAGCTCCTGTCTCAGTCTTGTAATGATTTATCATTGCACCACTATGACATCAGTAATGGAGCAGTTTTTTGCCTTTTAAAAATAAGAGCTTAAGTGAAATTAGGTCTGCTGTTGTTGTGTCCCAGGGCAAGACACTTAACCCCACATTGCCCAAAGCCCCCGCTGTATTTTCGTTGAAGCAGCAGCCATCTTTCCGTGGACCCACCACCTGCAGGAAGAACAGCGAGGGGCCGGTGCTATGTAATTTGGGTGGCAGCTCTGATTGCCACACCCCCCAACCCAGAAATGGAATAATAAAGGGGAGGAAAATGACAAAATGATGATGACATGACAATCCCATGGGTTAGTTTGCAGTTGGCAATTTTCTGTCAGGTGGTTGCATAGGTGGTCAGCTGGCCACTTTAGTCGTTTACAGTGGGTCCCATTCCGTTTTGTCGTCTTCATTCGCGCTTCTCGGGAATCACGCAGCTGCGTGAAAAATAGTACATCTTATCGCCACAAGGTGGCAGGCTAAGTCCGCTTTAGCTCTGCCAGCTACTTAGACGCTCAGTTATCATACTGCGTGCAAACCTGTCTAGCCCAGAGGTGCTATGTTGGCCGAATGGATAGCATCCAGGACTGGGACCTGGAGAACCCAAGTTCGATTCTTGTCTGAGGCACATCTTTTGGTTGCTTGTGGCAAAATTGTTTTTTCATTAAACAATTATTATATAACATCTTGTCTTTAATGTCTGGAAAAATCGAGGTGAAATTCACTAGTGTTATACGTTAAATATTGTGATATGTTTTGATAAACCGAACGTTACGTTACATCCTCCGCTGCTGTGACCGCCGCTCTGACAGCTCAGTGAACGCACTGCAGTCTGGGCTCCGAGCGCGGACCATAGACACGCGAACAGAACCACAAACAGGACCATAGACACGCGAACAGAACCACAGAACCACAGACAGGACCATAGACACCCGAACAGAACCACAGACAGACATTTACATTTACATATACGCAGACAGAACCCAGACAGGCGGAGACACGCGAGACACGCGGATCATACTTGAACAGAACCAGAGACACACGAAGCATAGACACTCGAGGGACAGGTCCATTTGTTTTATTTGTGTTTAAAGTTACCTAAGTTTCTCCTTGCATTAAAAATGCTTGGTGGTTGTGGATATTTAGACTGCGTGATTTGATAGAATAATACTGGCAATGTCTAATACATATCTAATTTTCAGTAAATTATAAAGAGAAAGAAAAAGAAGAGGAGGTCAAAATTCAAGAGGAGGAATAGCTGTTGTTCTCGGGGAACGAGCTTCGCGCTGTGTGATATGATCATGCAGCTTATTGGACAAAATTGTTCAGCCAATAAACGGAACTATATTTGAAGCAACGTAGGAACGTGATGACGCTCAGGGGGTTATATTTTCTAAAAAAAGATTAGAACGCAACATTTAGTTAATAATGTGTGTATAAAAATAAAAAATATTGAAATTATGACTTTAAACAAAAAAGTCTAATGACTTGAGAGGCGAAGAAGAAAATTGGGAAGGCCAAGAATAAAACTGGTAGGCACCGGCCTACCCAGGCCTATCCCTGGCCGCGGCTGGGCCGTGCATGTGAATGTAAATGTGTTTCTATTGAATGCTATTTCTTTCTTTATAATCTTTATCTTTATAATACGAATTGCATTAACGTATATATTTAAAATAATTATGTTTTGTCTATAGAATTCTATGCGAATTCGAAAATAAAGACATTCTGAAAGCGATCTGCCTCTCGATTTTTTAGTGAGGTCTTCTTCTGGTATTTACTGTTTGGCTGAGCTAAAGTTTTAATAGTATTGGTTAAAATAAATGCCATTTTCAAACACGGCGTGATGTAAATAAGAGAGAGAGCGAGAGAGAGACGCTGACGCATTTTGGCTCAGTGCGCTAGTGTGCAATCAATGACAATCACAATACTCATCAAACAAGATCCATTCAGTTTTATCATTGGAGGAAATGTTTATTAAATTAGCAATTGGCACCTTGACAAAACACTGGATATAGAAATCCTAACAATAGTAGGCTAATATAGGCTAACGTGGACATCCCTTGGCCCGTGGGGATATCACATGCCAGTTGCCTCTCCCTTCAAGGCTATGACCTGGTCGATGACTTTGTCCAGGTGGTCTATATATTTATTGCAGACCTGGGTTGTGAGTTTGTTTAGCCAAAAAAACTCTATTGCGGAGATCAGTGCGTCCTTGCTCATCGGCTTGGCCTCACAGCGAATGTATCTTTTCATGGATGCCCACACTAACTCAATGGGGTTCAGATCCGGCGACCTTAAACAAAAACACATGGACATGTCAGCACTGTTAGCCTATTTTCCGATACAGCATGTATTCATCCAGAATATATATATATATAAAATAACTACGGTAACTCACTCTGCCGGTGTCGGTACCCAGTTGATCCCCTCACTTTCAATGCAGGCTTTGACACTTTTTGCTGTGTGTTTTGGATCGTTGTCTTAAAAAATCAAACAGGACAAATTAGGAGGACAACTTAATCATTAAACAAACATTAGTAGCCTAATCATCACGACGTTGCTTTTGTCATAATCATGCTGAAGATTTGGAATACAGATTGTTAGCCTACCTTGGAAGAATCTATGTGTAGACATACGGAAATGCTCCCTTAAGTATGGACCAGCAGCTTTTTTGATGATTTCTTCCGCGTAGAAGTGTTGATCCATTATACCTGCGGGTTTAAATAATATGTTAGCATATTGTAACAATTTATTTAGCATAGCCTACTTTGCATGCATTGCTTTCAAAACTTCATCACTCACCGTCAAAGATGACCAACGGACCAGGTCCCCATCGAGAAATTCCACCCCAAACATGCATTTTGACCGTGTGCTTCACTCTTGGTTTTGCAATGCCCCTGAAGTTGGTCTTTCTCCAGCACTTCAAGGCAAAACGTTCCAGTGCCACAGTTGACTCGTCAGTGAAGAGAACATCATCAAACTTTCAAAAATCTCACATATCCATGGAAATTGAATTTGGTATATCTACACATGTTTTGTGTAGGTAATGGATATGTATGTGATTGGCTGAAAAATCACACTTTTGGTCTGTACTGTACATACATATATCCTTTGATGAGCACTTACACTTTCAACATGTCTTTTGTCCTATTAGATTTATTTAATTGATTTTGACATGACAAGCTATAATCAATCATGATGAAATATTTATCTGTGTGCGTGTGTGTGTGTGTGTGTAAACAGTTTGAGCATTTACAAAATCCGGGTCTACAGTGTGTGACCTGATCCAAGGTGCAGACTGACTGAAAGGAGTTGTGCAGCATTGATCAAGCACCCCCTCAACCCTCATTAGCATTTGTATAGCTCACAGCATTGCCATTTACATGTTAAAGCCTCCTGTGGAGGAGGGAGGAGGGGACAACAAACTACCGTCAACAGCCGAATCCCAGAAGTTTCACAGTAATATACAGGGCAGAAAAGAAAATCACACTTTTCATGCAGTGATTCTTTTCAAATAAAAGATGACTTAAAGGAACAATATGTAAAAATCTGGCCAAAAGTGGTACTGCAGTCACAGTCAATAAATAAATAAAAGCAATGTAATTATACATAGTTTATGCAAAATAAATAAGCAATTGATGTCCAAAATAGGAGTGGGAAGAATGGATGTTGGAACGTATTTCTTCAGCGTATCAACATCAGGGTTTGCTCAAGAGGATATCACCTTTCAATTTTATTTATTCCCTATTTTTTAGACAAACATGTAAAAGTTCCACATCAAAAAGAGACTAACATTATTTTAATTGGGGTACATGTGGTCTTAAATGATTATTTTTACAATTAAGCTATAATCTGCAAAAAACGTCTTGACCTTCATCTTTTACCGTTTTTAGAGCAGTCTGTCATAGAATGTGATAACATGCAATAAATACAAAAAGACTTAGCCCGGGATCGAACCTGGGTTCCTACATCGTAAGCGCACAGCTTAGACCACTAGGCCACCGATTCACACGAACAGAGACACTGTTATCAGCTGTCTCAATTGTTACCGGCCTGTAGCAGGTATGTATCAATTATTTGTGTAGCACAATTCATACACAAGGAAACTCAAAGTGCTGAGCAAAAGAAAGCATTAATATAAATAATCACAGTACATTAACAAAGATAAATATAAATTCCCTCAGTTGTAGCACAGCTAAAGTGAGACAGGCCTCTTCTCTGACAAGGTTTAAAACCAGGTTAAAAACAGTTCTGTTTAGCTGTGCATACAACTGAGGTATTTTATATTTATCTTTTTTAATGTACTGTGATTATTTATTTTAATGCTTTCTTTTTTTGCTCAGCAAATATAAAGCCCTTAAATATTTATTTAGCATTTGATTTGATTACTTGTTAAATTGTGTTTGGAGACTATAATATATTTTAATAACGTTAGTAATTTTGTCCCAGTCATTGCAGCGTCAATCAAAATCATCACGTAACACAGCTCACATCATGCGCAGCGACAAAGCGTGTCCTGCTGTTGTTTGCTAAAACTAAAGGTGTTTGGAGGCTACAAATAAATAATACCTGCTTTAAAATGAAACGTAGTAAATATCCACAACAGAAAATCGCGGGTTAGCAGGGCATTTATGATGGGGGTCGCGGGCTAAAAACTTTGGGAACCCCTGGTCTAACCTACTGGAGACAAATGCATGGATAAAAATCTCCAGGTCTGCTTTAGACACTATGTCTCGCCAATGTAACCCTGCTCACAAGTGCCACCTGGTGGTTGTTTTGGTCATTGCAACGTCACTGGGAGGGGGGAAAATAAAAGACGCGTGAATCACACGAGACTCACGTGTGATTCACGCGTGAAAGGCGACAAAACGGAATGGGACCTACTGTACTTTCATGTTTTGCCATTTGAGCCAGTTTTTAACTTGTAGATCAATTTGTTTTTGACTTTATATTTAAATAAACTTTAGGGCAAACGTACAAACATGATTCTTTTTTTTTTTCTTAAGTTCATGCAAAAGAATAGACATTTGGCAGTATATTTGGGTCCATTAAGTATCTTCTCTAAATCACTCAAATGTACAGACAGCAACATGCACCTTTCTGCAGACCTGCTCACAAATCATCTACAAATGAACAAAACGGACACAAATGCCCACCAGATGATAGCACACAAACATCAAACCTCCAATCGGATATTCTCCGTATGATCCATTAACTCCAAACACACAAGTCCAGTGAAATATGGTCCTATATAGAGCCCCGCTGGCTCTGCTCCAACCACAAATCAGTGCTGCCAAATCATACTCGTATCACCGATTCTGATCGGACGTGTCGTGGCGGCGGTTCCGGTGATCAGAGGAGTCTTAGAGCAGCACTGGTGTCACATAAATGAATAGCTCTATAAACAACTTTGAGTGTGTAAAATAACTGGGAAAACCACTTTAACATGGTCAAAAGCTGTGAGAAGTTCAATTTAGCATGTTCAGTCCGCTTAAAACTATTTATATATTTTCCAGTTAAAGAGAACGATGATCCAACCGCCAGCTCTCGGCGCAAACCTGCAGTCCAGCTCTTCAGCGGCCACATGAAGCTATTGAACCAACCCTACAACCAGAACTATGAGGACACGTCCAGCCCTGAGTTTATGGATCTGGCTAAAAAGCTGGAGTCTCAAGTGAGTCTTCTGTGTGGCCAGTATTAGCAGTGCAATGATTGGTCCACTCACTAATTAATCCTGACATTTGCACTTAAAGAAATGTAATTGAACTTTGATCATGGTAAATGTCCTTCTGGTATGGCTGTTCCGCATTACCTAGAACTTTTGGAAGATGTATGATTGTTCACCTAAACGAGGGGTTAAAGTTTTATTGACAAAAATCAAGGAAGTGCATCAATGTTTGATCTGTCATGTTTGTCATAAGATTAATATATGTTCTATTCTCATATAACCTGTATCTAACTGTAGCAAACATGTTTCTTAACCTAAACAGCTGGAGAACCATTACCAGAGCGATGAACTCCTCAAGGAATTTTACACCAAGTCAATGGTTACAGCTTTCAGGTGAGAATCTTTCTTGGTTATAGAATGGAGAAAGTTCAATAGTGAAATCAGTTATCTGTCCATTGTCTTCTACATTAGACTTAATATGTAAAATAAATGATGCGTTGAAAATATAATATATGAATTAGACTGAATTATGTTTTTAGTGGTTGGAGAAATGGGGGCACCTGGAGTAAACCTACGCAGACATGGGGAGAACCTGCAAACTTCACAGTGAAAGGTCCGGAGGTGGAATCAAACTCCGTACCTTCTTGCTACAATACAATACAATTTATTCTTGTATAGCCCTAAATCACAACAGCAGTTATCTCAGAGGACTTGGCAAAACCATTGAAATCACCAACACAGATCAGAGAATCGACAGTTAAGACACCAAAAAATATGTATCTTGCTGTGATCTATTGTGTGTGTGTTGGGGTCTCGTCACAGATCAAACCCAGTCCTGATGTCTGCGGCAGAACCAGACCAGGACATGGCCGCGCCTGTCTTTGCATCTATGCATGCGGCGATATGGTGCTCTCATCGTAGACTAAATCAAACCAAGTCCTGATGTCCCTGGTAGAGGGCAGCAGAACTAGTAGACTATAACATGCCGCGCTTACCTTTGTCTGTGTTCATTATCTGTCCAGATCTCTGCTCAGGTTTTCAGGGCCGTGAAAAAGACTCTCTCTTACTGGTTTTAACTGTGGTCCTGCCAGGATAACAAGATAATTACATGGAGATAAAAGATTTCCCATCTCACTTTTCTCACAATTTGGTTGATGATGATCAGACATTTTATTTATAATGCGCTAGGGCTGCATGATATTGGAAATTAGAGCGATATTTTATGTGAGTGTTTAGTATTTCGAAATAAGCACAACATTAATGACATTCAAATGCATGTATTTATATACTTTTTTGTTTGTTTGTTGTTATTGTTGAATGTTGATGTGTCTGTTTTGTTGTCTTTTTGATATGGATATTGCATGTACCAATATCGCGATAACAATATTTTATTAAATGCACCTTACCGTTCCAAAAAACCACAAGTGCTGGTTGCGTTGCACCCGAGTGCTGTTTCTCATTGTCTTTTAGCAGCCCCATGTCTCGCGCATTATCTCCTGTGTTGTCATAAACCCGCACTGTTAAAAAGCTGGTTTGTCTTTTCTCAGTGAGGGCGTGGTCGCTTACTACTGGTCGCAGTTTGACATCCCGGTGGAGGAGCTGGAGCTGGTGCCAGAGTTCTCAGAGGAGCGCATCCTGGAGGCTCTGGAGGCCGGGATCCAGCAGAGCCGCAGTGTCCAACCCGACCACATCCAGATCAGAGAGATCACTGCCTCAAGTACGTACAGGAAGTGTGTTGTGTGCGTGCATTTAAAGTTGCTTTCCATAACTTGCCTCTGAAGGGTCTGCTTTTTTGCTCAGATCCATATAAATTTTACTGTTTTGTCTGCAATATTCCACAGTTTGGCATTAAACTTTACTATCTACGTATATTGGAGACGAGCATTACAAGTCCATATTACACAAGCTGAGAGTTTTCAAAAGCTTCAGTCTAAAATCATCCTGATTATCCTCAACTACCCCAAATGCACAAAACTATGAACAGTGAGCATTTTTTCACTAAAGGAAATACTTTGCGATAATGTATTACAGATACAAACTTCTACACACTTCTTCGGTCATTGTGTCCAACTATCCTTTTCAACACGCATGAAAACTCTTTTTCACATGATATCCCCCTGGATGAGCACTTTTCTATTCTAACAAAAGAGTTAAACTACTTGAGCTTTGGAACTACTCATCCTCATGTGTTCAATGCCCAACACAAAGAACATCCAAAATGTTTCTCTTTCATCAGTGAACAGCACTGAGGACACTGCTCCCTTGTCCAGCTTCAATGATTCACGAATGAATAAGGATAATGCTGTGGCTGGTGGTGTGCTCAGGTACCGTGGCTGGTCGTCTAGCACAGGGGTTCCCAAACTTGTGTGTGTGTCTCTCTATTCTTCAACCATATGTTTGGAAAATTCTATTTTAACTGGGACTACTGAAGGCATTCATTCAATCAAATAGCTTACTTAGTGCATATTTCATACATTAATTCAACAGATTAATAGAATTTTGCCTGTTATCTCCTTGTTCGAAAACAGGTTTTTAGACTTGCATATATTGTGGCTTTTGTATAATGCAGTTGTTGTGGTCTGATACATTATTCATACTTTTTGCAAGAATCTTCCTGCACAGATTACTGATGCAATCCACTTGCTGGGGTTCGACATTTGTCGCAACCAACAAACTGGCAACCCAAATGGAGACCTTGCATGGCTCCGATTGGATGATCTGCAAACATGCGTTTGCAGATCATATTTCTTGTCATCATGTCCATTCTATTGTTAATGAATAACTGCAGTTTATACTTTTGTTGTACGTATGGAAGAAGTTTATCAAGTATATGATGTAGATGTAATTCCCTTTTTGAAACAGAAAATATGTATATAAAATATGCTGCAAAACTCCTGATGAGACATTGTTCCTCCTCATTCCCGGGGCCTGACTAATGCCTTGATGCAGATGAGCCTGGCCTCTTGCTCCCGCTGCATTTAGAAGTGAACCGTTTGTCTCTTGAATCCTGTAATGATATTAGCTCAGCCCTAACCTGGCCCAGGACAGCGTGCTCCTCTTCTGTCGCCTCAGCATTCTCACCGCGTTCGTCTGCTTCCTGGACACGCGCCCAAACACCAGCCTCCTGACTCAGCTCTTCAGTCCTGCTCACATCTCTGTTTGCGATTTGATGCCCCCTGATTGTTAAAGTGTGGGCTTTTTTAAATAGTGTTTTCTATTTGAGAACTGTTTTTCTATACTGCGTCATTGATATAAAACTGGTTAGACAAAGTTCATTGACTTCCTTCTATTCTCAGAACTTGAGAACTTTTTGGCATTTTATTGTGGCAAACAGCAGAATCATAACATAATAATCAATTATGTCTTTTACTTTTGAAATATGGCTGCTAACATAAAAAAACACACACACATTTGACTTGAATAATTGGCAAAAACTGACAGATGGGAATTTTCAAACATGGAAGAATGATTTTTAAATCTTTGACTACTACCACTACTACATTCTGAACCAATATTACATTAATCTTTTAACCTCCAGAATCACACAAATTACTAACTGTACGTAGACTGTACACACAAAGCAGAATATATAGAATATGAGGTAATAATTGCTTTGAGTTTTTTTGTCTTCTTTTGAGTACTTTCTGACTGTCTTAAAACAAGATTTGCCAATGGGACAAAGCCATTTAGTCTTAATTCAAGAACTGATGCTTTATTTCCTCATTTCAAGGGAGATATTTCTTTTAATTTTGCTTGTCCCATTCATGTTTTAAGGGAGTCAAAATGTGCTTAAATTAAGATACATTTAGCCAAATTTGAAAAATGTTTGATTTGATGTCACTTTTTGAAATGACAAATATCTGTTTCACATGTTTTAACTGAGGGAGGCAATGTCTGTGATGGTGTATTTATTCATTCATTACTTGTGTGCCATACAATAGCACGGGCCGTCTTTCAGAGCCTGCTGATACATGTCTAGACACAAGGGTCTTTCAATTAATTATGTTTCTATTATACCATTCAGTTAAAAAATATAGGATTTTGACTTTTGACAGTAATGATAAATTTATATTGTATGTAATGAATATCACAAACCAAAAATATAGATGGTTTTAACAAATAAAAGCACTCTTATTTGTAAATCATTCTTAATTGTAGAGTGGTGTGGTTCTGGCTGGTCAGGCAAGAGAAACGTAAGGTTAAAAGCTCAGAAAAATCAATGTTACTTTTTTTTTTTTTTTTTATTTATTTTTTTTACGTGGATTGAAATCGATGTATATATCATTTTGTCACATCACCCACCCCCACCTTTTGTCAATAAGCACCACCCACCCCCACTACAGCCCAATTATTTTAACAGCAAAATGCACCGCTGTGGTATTTCGGCCTCATGCATCAAATCCATCCAACCTTTGGTGTGTAGTGACCTTTCCTTACCTCTCTCTCTCATTTTCCCCTCTCTGTGTGTCCAGTGACAGACCCGCGGATGGCCCGGACCCCCAACGCCAGTGAGTACGACACGTCCTGCCTCTCACACTGTGGTCATTTTCCAGTCCAGCACTTCAGTCGGCTTTAGCGCACGGCTGCACACACCTCTAACATGACCAGTGTTCAGCTCTGTGTAAGCTGTGTGTGCTTATGGATATATGGGGTTTTCTATACATCCATCTCCTATTCACATACATGAGATCAAGATGATCATATGCACAGCTGGAAATGTGACAGAATAAGCCATGTTTTAGAGACATCAGACAAAAAAAATAAATACAAAAAAATTAAACTTTAGTAAACATAAATAGCAGCCATTACCTGTTCATTACAACAACTGAAGGCCAAGGGCTCCATGAAAGTGAATCGTTTATTTCCCCCCACTCGTGATCAGTGGTTTCCATGTACCTGTTTGTGTTTCTATATGTGGCAAAAACTAAATTTTGATCTCTTTCAGTTGGATAGTTTGTTAGGACTGTAACAGAGTTGACAGTTTTTTAAAGTGTCTTTATCAAGCCACCACCACAGTATTATATTTTCTTTCATACTCTTACAAATGTTTTGACCGGGATATGAAAGGGTGATTTAATTTGAATTTTGATTTTAGGGTCACAATTTGATTCTGGATAAATGCCAATTCATTATAGCCTGACTCTCGCCAGACCCATGTAGTTCGCTGCACTTCACACATGCGTCTGGGCCTCCTCCATAGCAGTTGGATTTCAGAAGGCAGGGCCGTCTAAAAGAAATCCTTGTATGTGATTGGATAAACCACTTGTCCGTTATCTTGAATGAAGTCTTCCTTCAAGCACTCGCATCGAAGCACACGACTCCCGTGTGTTGCCAAATATAATCAACTTGGCCTATCATAATTCTGTTTGTCTTTCTGTTTATTTATTACAAGTCTCTTGAAGAAAAGTATGCTGGCAACCACCCAACCTGGCAACACTGCTTCAATGTGTTGTAAACAGGAACACTTAAACCAGTACTTAAACCAAGCTTTACACGAACATTTGACTCTTAAAACACACATATAACATAGAACCATCAACATCTCGCCTCCTATTGCATTAAAAGTGACATCCGTGTCTTAATTTGTTCGTATTTAAACGTTTTTAAAAAATCACGGACTTCATGTCCGCCATCTTGGATTGCTTTCGCTGCAGCATGAGACACACTTGAAGGCGGTGCAAACCCGACGTAACACCGGTGATCCTGATTGGTCGATTATTTTATGATCTGCTTAAGGAGTTTACTATGGCGTCATTACCAGACCCATGTGGTTCAGTCAAACGCCTCTGGTGGAGCATGACGGAACTACAAGGGTCTGGCGAGAGTCAGGCTAAATTCATTATACTCCATTTAGCAAATAATTTACACATGATTCTATATTTTAGCTTCAACAACAGTTCACATGATTGTTCAATGTAATTATATTTATAAAACTGCTTTGACCCATGATAAAACAAATACACTTCCACTTTAAACGTTCACGATTAACAGTACACTACTATTTCACTATTTCAATGCACGGAAGCTGAACGCATCACCTGTGACAAAATAGAGCACCACATAAAGTCAGTATCAGCAGCGGGTCTTACCGGCTGCCTCCTCAGTCTTTGATTCGTGAGTACAGCTACTCATGAGAGCATGTAAACTAACTTTGATGCGCACTCGTTTGCCAAAAAAACCAGAATCGCTGGTCCGCCAATTTAAATTGTTCGGGTTAACCACGACCGTTCCGGGCACGCGCACATAGACTCAATAAGTGCTACACTGATCCATCTACTCTTTTTATTTTGATGATTTAAATAAAACAATCTAAATTTTGAAACGCCGCTAGTTATTACAGTTGGTGAGTAATGGTTAACCGGCTACTTGGAATGAATGAATGAATATGGCCAAATGAAAACTACACAATTTCCATTTTTGTGGTTTATTATTCACCCCAGATACAACATGATACAACATGATACAAAGATGCAGTTTGAATTCAACCTTATTATTTTTGGGAACTCACTACATTTTTATTTCAGAGGAGTGTTTCTTTACACTGGAGGCCACTGAAGAGGACCAAACCTTCACCTCGCCAGGGTTCCCCACTGCGTACCCCTCCAGGTCGCGATGTCAGTGGCAGATCCGCGCCTCAGAGGAGAACGTCATCACCGTCAGCTTCCCCTTCTTCCACATCGAGGACGACTGCAGTGACGACTTTGTGTACATCTACGACTCTCTCAGTCCTGACGAGTCCCAGGCCATCACAAAGTACGTGACTGAGTAGTCTGGGAACAGAGCTTCATATTGTGATGGGGAGATGAGGCCAGCTGGAGGATTTTGCCTTTTGTTTTTAGTGATTGTGTCGGCAAGGTGGGGCAGTGGTTAGCGCTTGTACTTCACAACAAGGGGTTTGATTCCACCTCCAGATCTTTCTGTGTGGAGTTTGCATGTTCTCCCTGTGTCTGCGTTGTTGTCCTCCTGGTGCTCCGGCTAAAAAGCATGTACAATAGGTCTGGCATGATGAACCCGCTCCCATGTGTGGAGTGAGAGCACAACAATTGTTAATTGTTTTGTGACTCTGGTCTGTGAAAGGTGCAATATAAATACAGATTACTGACTTGCTTACTAGTGTCACAACTTCTGGACACATAATAAAGAGATAAAATATAGTTGATGCAAAGATCTGGAACTGCTGCTAAATATCTTGGGACAGTTTCCGGGGCCCTTTGATGAGAAACGCCGGGAGTCTATATGAACTGAGCTGGAGCGGCGGTCGCATTTAGAGCAGTAAGGCGTTCCCATGTGCATGTTGGCATCCCCCAGGACTGCTCTTTATCACCAGTCCTTTTCACCAACAGACTTAAGCAACAAGCCATAAATAAAATAAAATATGGATGAACAAATTGTGTGATTCAAAAGATAAGATGAGGTTTTAACAACAAAAAAGACATTGAAATAACAACTAAATGTCTCGCGTCATTGGAAAAGCTCTTAAACTTTTATTTTAAAAAATCTTCAAAATATACTTGGATCAAAATAGATAATGGCTCATTCAACCAAATATGAACATATCATTAAAGGTATATAGGATTTTCCCAAATTTTCTGAAAGAACTGCCCACTTTTTGAACAAAACTCTTATCCCTTTAAACATGTATCCCCAGAATTATTTAAAGTTAGGAGGACCAATAGTCTTGATAATCCACCTAGAAGTAGAAAATCCTCTATACCTTTTTAGATTTTGCAGTGCTCAATATCTACTTTTTTTTACACTTCTGCCAATAAGGCTTTTTAAATTTGCAAATGAAATCATCTTTGTGCCTTTTGCAACACTGCCCTTCACATTGACAGCACCAAAACGGCGCACTAACATTTATATGGCCTTGAAGAAAAGAGATTTAAGAAAAATCAGAATTCCCACAGGAGTCTGCCAGAATCACAGTGTGTCTGAGTAAAATGTTATGTTTGGAGTTTGACGTAGATTTGATGTGAGCTCAAACGGCTCACTCAGCTCTTTCTTTACTACGTGTATGCGAATGCTACTTTTTTCTGCTCCTCTGGCCCCGCGGCATTTAGCACATCTCATTTCATTGTAAACATCGGAGACTTGTGTGAGATTAAGTTGGCTGGAAGAGACCTTTTTAAACGTGTGATTGTCAATGAGAGAGCTGCCGAGCTGCTTCAAAAATACTGCGTAGGGTTTCTGCTGGAGCTCCAGGCGGCTCCCCAAACCGGTGCCAAATAAATTGGAGTTACCAAGTGATGCATGAGGCCTTTAGTAAAGCTATTGAGTGATCAACTTTATCCAAGGTGACATGCAGTTTATGAGAGCCGCATTATAAAACAATATAAGTGCTTTATTCCACTGCAGTTGGATGTATGGTGCTCTTGCCGTGTCATTCACACCTCAGCTCTGCCGCAGCCTCAAACTTTTTACAAATGGGGCTCATGTTTGACTTTGAAACTGCACACAGGACTATTTCTGGGCAGCATCCCTCTTTGTATCCCCGCCACATTTCCACTGTCCATTGGTAATATCTAACATTTGAACAAATTCATTAAAAGAAAATCTATTACACGGTGTTCCACAGACAGAAGGACTAATGTAATATTTTCTCTTGTTAATCAAAGTTGTCTTCAGAGTGATTCGTGCAAGTTTGAGTTTTCCTACAACCAGGACGCCATTGCTGCTTCCTGGCTCCATTCTCACTTTTGTTTTTTGTTTTTGCTGATTTACTTAAAATCTGTGATGATCGGATTATTTGGCAGTTTTGCGCAATAATTATTCGCTTAAATAGAGTAAAAATTAACACGGGGGAGGGACGTTAAAAGTATCAAAAAATATAAAATATGGAGTACTAAAGCTCGTATTGAATACAGGCAACATTTTTAAAATCGTAAATTTTAAACTATATTAGAACTTGTATAAAACCTCATTACCCTGCAAAAAATATTTTTTAATGGCTGTGTTATAGATATTGAAATTAAGTTTGTTTATTTACACTACAACATTGAGAAACTTTTCATCCCAGGACCTGCAAATGTGTGCGTGGAATAAATGTGAATTAAAACCTCAGCATCAGTTTGAGTGATTTTATGGTGTTATTTGACCCGATTTCTTTTAATGGATTGTATTGTGTCTCATTGAATTGTGAAATACAATGAAAATTTGCCCAAGTCTAACCTCCAGTCCCCCTGTTGGTTGGTGCAGAAAGTGCGGTCAGCGGCCTCCCACAAACCCTCTGGAAGTGGTGTCATCAGGGAACATCATGCTCATCAATATGATTACGGATGGAGAGGTGCAGAGGCCGGGTTTCAACGCAGTCTACAAAGCTCTCCCTCATCCTTCGGGTAAGCAATTCAGTTTATTTGGGTATAGCCCTAAATCACAGCAGTAGTTATCTCGGAGGACTTAAAGAAAAAATCACAGATCAAAGAATTAAACGTTTCAAACTAAAGAAATGCAAGCACACCGAATATGGGCACTAGTGAGTAGAGATTACCAGTTTCTTTGGTGAAATCAAACTGGTTTTGGTCCCAAACCTCAGAGCTTGCATGCCATGTCATGTCTTCTACCCCTTTTTTAATCCATTTCTGGGTCGGGGGGGTGGCAATCAGAGCTGCCACCCCAGTCTCATAGCACCAGTCCCTCGCTGATCGTCCTGCAGGTGGTGGGTCCACGGGTTGATGACTTCTCCATGATCGAAGACATGGCCTTGGTCTTTCAGCGGGGGCTTCAGGCAATATGGGGTTAAGTGTCTTGCCCAGGGACACAACGGCAGCAGACATCAGTGGGAGCAGATGACATGAGTTGTGGTGGGCTCGAACCCACGACCATTACGTCCAAAGACCAGTGGTCTACCAACTGAACTACTGTCGCCCCAGCTTGCGTGCAAATTCAGTGAAAATACCTTCTTTCCTGGACTTAATTTGTATCAAGTCTTGTGGCATCTAATTTTATCTAAATGGCATTAAAGGAGACATATTATGCAAAGTCAACATTATCCATTATTATTTTAACCATGTTACTACAGTGTAAAATCGTTTTTAGATACATCCATGCTAATATGAGGGACTCTCACTTCTTTCTAACAGTTCCTTTATCTCCCATACATTTTGGGGAAATTAGGATTTTTTATTTTTTTACATATCAGATGTGTGTGTTTTAACATTTAAAAATAAGAATAATAATAATAATTCTACACCTCCCTCTGGAAGCATAAGGATAGGGCAGGTCGATAGCATTATTTACCCTTCATACTTTTACACCGTACATCTTCCACTTGGGATATAATTTCACATTCTAAAACATTATTATTTCTAATAGCCCAAAATGTAATTTGGAGATTTCTTAAAGAAGAAATTTTAACAGCTATACATGCTGTCTTGTCTAATACAAAAAAAGATTACATTTGTCACATTTTGCAGTGTACAGTTTTGGTCAATGCTCTCTCTTTCAGTTCAGAAATGTGGAGGTGTCCTGACCAATGCCAAGGGAGTGATCAGCTCTCCGCAGCACCCCAGCTTCTACCCCCCTGCTATGGACTGCAAATGGACCATCAAGGTTTGTTCCAGCGCCTCCTCCTCCTCCTCCTCCCCCCCCCCCTCATGAGCAGTGCTGAGGCTGCAGAACCCAAGCCAGCGCCGTTCAGCACCTCCTCTGTCTTCATATGTCAGGCTGCTGTTTTTACAGCCGCAGCCTTTGCCGTACGTCGCAATGGTAAAACGCGCATCGTACATTTCAATTTTCCTGTTTTACGCACACGCACTGTATGTGATTCAGTGCAGTGGCCAAGGGTGGGAGACGGGGGGACTGGCATTGTAAATAAGGCTTTGAAACACAAATCTCTTTGCTGCATGCAGGTTCCCTCTGGGCAGAAAGTGCGGCTCAAATTCACCATGTTTCGCATGAAGGAGCCTGGCGTGGATGTCCGCGTGTGCCACAAAGACTATGTGGAGGCCTTGGGCAACAAGTAAGTCTCCACAGTAACATCATTAAAGCTTGGGGTACCAAACTCTTTGTTTCATAAATACATTTGGTTTATAGATCAGGCCACAACATGCTCTCTTTATCTTAGTACAAAACACATTTTGCATACCGAGAGCTGATATGATCTACTTTTCAGTAAAAAAGCTGATCTAAGGATGAAACGGACCAAAAATACATGCATGTGGAAAGCCAGTTACGGAACCAGTATTCTTTTTGTTGCCCTGTTCTGTATGCATACAGAACAATACATCAGACAGCAGCCATTCCTATCTGTATACAGGCTGTGTCTGTGTAAGGCTGAGTTTATACTGAGACGCTGCGCAGACGTTTCCAGGCTATTAACAGAAACGACCAGGCTCCTAATGCAAATTTCTCAGCGTTCACAAGAGGTTGAAAAACGATGTAGTTCTAGCGCCCGGCCAGTAGTGGGCAGAGGAACTTTACAACACGACACACTTCCTGTGCCAGACCCTCAGAACGCACCAACATCATTCTGCATTTTAACAGCAGCTGTGAAAATGGAAACTGAACCTAGAGCTTCGCGTGGTCTCGTTTGGACGAACGAAGGAGTAGAATTATCCTCTGTGCCGCGCTGGAAGCCCACGAAGCTAGTTAGTGTGACCGCCACCATTGTTGTTGATGTTTGTTCTCCGCTACTGCGCATATCCAAATTTACGTGCAGGGAGCAGCGCGGAGGTGGAGGTCAGAGCAGAGGGGGATTTCACACCTTTTTCCCTCTCGCGGGTTTGAAAAAGCTCCCTGCTGTGCAGCGTATCTGAGCTGTCCCACTTTGCAGGCTGGATCTGAGCACTTACGTTTTCACCCCCCTGGAACACAGTCTTCGTATAAACGGTGGGTAGAAACCGACATCCAACTATACGTTTTTCTGCCACATTGTCTCCGCGTAAACTCAGCCTTTGTCATAGCCCAAGACCCCCTGGCCAGAAGGCTGCCACCCCCATATTTGACACTATAGGACTGGGGATGGTGCACTCGGGGGGGATGAGCAATGTTAGTTCTCAGCTATATGGTTGGAGCTGGAGATTACTTATGCAAACCCACTTTTCAGTTGTATGTATATTTTTCTTTAACAGTTGCCTGTGGATTTTCATTAAAATATTTGTTTTGTTTGTATCATGTGCAAGAGTTCATAATGTATTATTACTTTTGCAAGGCACTGTATGACCAGTGCATGAACGCATCTAGCAACAGTCTGGGAAACAAGCTTTGCAAACTAAAACTATCCAAACGAAGCACAGTGGCCTCTGAACAATCTGCTCCATCCATGAGCCAAGGACGAGCTGTAAGAACAACATGACATTAAAGTTCTTAAAGCCAAAGCTGAACCCACAGAGTTAAAAATAATAATAATAGTACATTTTATTTATTCCTCGCCTTTCTGGGCACTTACAACATTCACCTGATCAAGTATGAATCGCCTTTAGACTCTGAATGAGTGACATGTGGATTTAACCAATGAAGGCAAATTAATTTCACCTTTTTGCTTTCGTTGATTAAAAATTTCCTGGATCTTCCCCCTCAACTACGCTGTTTTTCAATAACCTACATCCCTATTAATAAAACACATATTGCCAAAGTGCCTATTGTCACGTTCTGTTGCAGGTATTGTGGAGAGTTGTCGTCGCTGTCTCTGACCAGTACCACTAACGAGATCATTGTGAACTTCCATTCAGACGAGTCCTTCACAGACAAAGGCTTCATGGCCGAGTACAGCGCCTTCGACCCCCAAAACCGTGAGTTCAAACGCTTGTATTTTCTGAGTTAAATTTGACAGTATCGCTTGAAGATTTTTCACAAGTAATAAAGTTGTCCTCCTGTGAGTTTCTGAGTGAGAGTAAAATATAGTTTTGAAATTGCTGAAGTGACAAGAGTGCTTCATGAATCGACATACATACAGTCGTGCTCTTTGGTCTCACTCACTGCTCGGTGTCATTCTGTCTGACGGCCGGACCATCTGGAAAACTTACCAGTTCATTACATATCCTTATCTTTCTTATCACAACAAAGTAATATCTTGTTGGGGGCTGTGTATCTTTCAGAGCCTTTAATACGGACACTTTCTGAAGTGCCCTGGCTTCCCTCCTTTCTCACATCTTTTTATTGTATTCCTTTTTATCTCTTAATAACTTTCAGGGCTCCAACCGTTGTAATTTTGTATCTATTTATGACAAACGCATTCATTTTTGTATGAATGTGTTAGTCGGACTATCTCTCAAAGTGTAATTTTCAATTTGTCTTAAATGCTAACCTGAATCAATCATGTGACTAGAAAATAAATATAACACAAAATTGTGCCTGCCGTGTTTTTCAGCGTGTCCGAATGAGTTCGCCTGCTTCTCTGGGATGTGCATCGCCAAGGAGCTGAAGTGTGACGGATGGAACGACTGCGGCGACATGAGCGACGAGATTAAATGCAGTCAGTTTCTTTGATTCTTGCGACGTATCATAGAGAAAGGCAGAATATGATGCATGTCTGGAGCTATAACTGCTTTTGTCTGTTCCCCAAATGTTCCTTTCTTTCATTTTGGCCCTCCAACATGGATCTGGAGAAATGTATCTTGCCAATCCACTTGATTTGTATATCACATTGTATAAACGGTTTCCAAAGTTCTGCACATACAGTAAATGCTTTAACAATAAAGGCACTCGCACATCTGCCAAAAGAATGGTAAGAAATAACAGAGCATTGAATGAGATCCATGGTGTAAAAAATAAAGAAATTAGTCAAGGTATGAATAAAATGTTAAACAATTAAAGAAAACAGAGGACTACACAAAACTAAACACGTGTAATGCGTTAAGGACTTTGTAAGTTGAACAAACAATTTTCTGGTTGTAGAAAACAAAAAAAAATGTATATCTAACATGACACGGTCTACTCAAAGGCATGCACAGAAATCAGTTGACTGGACTGATTTTAAAAAATGTTGAAGCAAAAAAAAACGACGACTCTAGTTTGACTTTAAAAAGTTAGGGTTTGGATTTGATTTTATACTCCTTCTGTCCAAACAATTTATCTGCTGAAGGCCATCTCAGAATTATCGATCTGTCAACAGTAGATATGAAAATTAAGAAATTTGATCTTAATGTTCACGACACGGCCTAAGTTAAAACTGAAACGCACAATAATCACGTAAGAGCACTAAAAACAAGCAGACTTGGCAAACAATGATGGCTCCTTTTGAAAATTGTCTATAAAAATCTATATTGTCATTACTTAGGGGAATTGTTGTGCCAGGTGTGATAACGCTGGCATAAAATTTAGATTTTAAGGATCTTTCATAATTGTCTCTTGTCATTGTCACGTCCCCCAGATTTCCTTTTTATTCAGTCACATAAAAAAATAACGTAGCGATTTTAGTGATTTTTGTTTGTTTCCCCAAGGTTGTGGCACGGACCAATTCGCCTGCAACAATGGCTTATGCAAACCCAAGCTCTGGATTTGTGACCGAGTCAACGACTGTGGGGACAACAGCGATGAGAAAGCCTGCAGTAAGTCTTGGAGTCACTTTTCATCGTAGTCTCAAAAGCTCCAGTTCACACACTTCTTCCTCTACCGCCAATAGATTAGTGATTTCAGGTTGGTAAAAAATCCATCTTTTAATTGGATACAAATGAAATGTTTTGTAAATATAATATTTTCCCATTCCATTCTATCTTCCTCCGCTTCATCTGTTGCCGGGTCGCGAGGGCAGCAGTCTAAGCAGAGACGCCCAGACTTCCCTATCCACACACACTTCCTCCAGCTTGTCCGGGGGGACCCCAAGGCGTTCCCAGGCCAGCTGAGAGACATAGTCCCTCCAGCGTGTCGTAGGTCTTCCCCGGGGCCTCCTCCCAGTGGGACATGCCCGGAACACCTCCCCAGGGAGGCGTCCAGGAGGCATCCGGAACAGATGCCCGAGCCACCTCAACTGGTTCCTCTCGACGTGGAGAAGCAGCGGCTCTACTCCGAGCTCCTCCCGTGTGACTGAGCTCCTCACCCTATCTCTAAGGGAGCGCCCAGCCACTCTGCGGTAGAAGCTCATTTCGACCGCTTGTATCCGCAATCTCGTTCTTTCGGTCATTACCCACAGCTCATGACCATAGGTGAGGGAGGGAACGAAGATTGACCGGTAAATCGAGAGCTTTGCCTTTCGGCTCAGCTCCCTCTTTACCACAACGGTCCGATACAGAGACCGCATCACTGCGCACGCTGCACCGATCCGCCTGTCAATCTCACGCTCCATACTTCCCTCACTCGTGAACAAGACCCCGAGATACGAGAACTCCTCCACTTGAGGAAGGACCTTCCCACCCACCTGAAGAGGGCAAGGCACCTTTTTCCGGTCGAGCACCATGGCCTCAGATTTGGAGGTTCACACTCGGCTGCAAACCGCCCCAGTGCATGTTGCGGGTCCTGGTTCATTGGAGCCAACAGGAAAACTTTGTCCGCAAACAGCAGAGATGAAATCCAGTGGTCCCCAAACCGGACCCCCTCCGGCCCAAGGCTGCGCTTAGAAATTCTGTCCATAAAAACAGTGAACAGAACCGGTGACAAAGGGCAGCCTTGGCGGAGGCCAACATGCACCGGGAACAGGTCTGACTTACTGCCGGCAATGCGAACACAGCTCTGGCTCCGGTCATACAGGGACCGGACAGCCCTCAGCAGAGGACCCCGGACCCCGTACTCCCGGAGAACCCCCCAAAGGACACCCCGGGGAACACGATCGAACGCCTTCTCCAAATCCACAAAGCACATGTGGACAGGTTGGGCGAACTCCCATGAACCCTTGAGTATCCGATGGAGAGTATAGAACTGGGCCTCGGCCCCTCCTTATATATTCCCTTCTCATATTTTCCCTACTTTGTAAATTCCTTATCTACTCTTTTTGATATTTTGACTTTTAATTACAATTAATCTTAATCAGATCACACATTTAATTATTTGCAAAGTAAATTTCAAATTATATAGAAAAAATATTCAAGGAATAAGCATTGAAGATTTATTTTTTGTGCTTGGTGCTCAGGTTGTGAGAATAACGAGTGGCGCTGTAGGAACGGTCAGTGTATGTCCCAGGGCGTGGTCTGTGACGGGAAGATGGACTGTGTCGACGGCAGCGACGAGGCCTCCTGCGAAACATGTGAGCGCCACAACATATATTCAAAAAACGTCTTTCCATCTTTTTGATTTGGAATGTTCCTGACATTAACATTCAATACACATCAATGTTATAATACATGCTAATACAAAATGCTGATTAGCTAGTTAGATAGATACTTTATTGATCCCCGTAGGAGAAATTCAGGTGTCCAGCAGCAAAAGACTCATACAGGTGTTTTGTTCAGTCTGACAGCCGAAGGAACAAGGGATCTATTAAAACGTTTCGTTCGGCAGTGCAGGGAAAGGTGTATTTCCTGGTATGAGCTGAAAAGCAGTAACTAAGTTTTATAAGATTTTAGACAACAATACTTTTTGCTCAAACCAACATATACCATCTTAAAGTACTTATGAAGTGTGACATTTTGGACAAAGAAAATTCAGGAACATTGACATTTTACGTCAAGTCTTGTTATCATTTTGATGATTATGGTTTACAGTTGACATTCTAAATATACTAATATTTTGAGATATTCTATGTTGGTTGTTTACAAGCTGTGAGCCAATGATCAATATATATAGATTTGTTCTATCTTTGCTTGTAATGAGTTTGTAATATTAGTTTCACATTGTAAGTTGAATAACAGACTTTAATGGACTTTTAAAACACATTTAAAAATTGAAATAAATACAACATGCCCTAAAAATATGCTTTAAAACAATCCAAATTGATCAGAATCCCAGCTTGTAATAATGCCTGTATTTTTCTCCATCCATCTTCCCATCTGCTCTGACACTCTTTCCTGTCCCTGCTGAAGAAAAGTCCCTTGCTCCAAAAATGATCATCAATCTGTGTAAAAATGCCCTATGTAATTATATCTGCCCTGTTTTTCCCCTCACTGCTGTCTCTGTCTTTATCTATTCCCTTTCCACACTCACTTGCGTTTCCGTTTGATTTTCACTTCTGTGAGCAAAGAGGGATATTAGAGCTGCACCTGGATCAATACGGCCCAATCAATGCAATCTGCTCTTCAATCACTTTGCATTGTGCTCCAGGCCGCGTTCTGAAACAGCGCTGATGACGGCTGCAGCACAGGTTTCACTCTGAAAATGACATTACTGCATTTAGTCACTTCTTCCTTTGTATGTTTCTGTGTGTTTTCCCCACAGCTCCTGGAATCTGTTCAGAGTTCAGCTTCAAGTGTGCGAACGGAGAATGCGTCAATAAAGTCAACGCTGAGTGCGACCGCATCGATGACTGTGCGGACAAATCAGACGAGTCGTTTTGTGGTACGTCACATGCGTTTAGTTTTACACAGAGGGAAACGGAACGCAAAACATGCAAAATACGTACATTTTCAATAAAATTATGTTGCATTTTTTTATAATAAAAATTCCAAAAGAACTAAACAATTGAATAACAATTATTGATATATATTTTTTGATTTGTTTCTTCATAAAAAAAATTAAAAAACTCAACCCTTGCCACCCCGCAGCCCGCACAGTAAATACACTGTCAAATATGTCTGTGAACACAGCTTTATTTGAACATTTAAATGCACAATTAAATCTACCCATGTCTTCAAAGGTGACAATTTCTCATTCTGTATTATAATTAGCCTTGCCTTTGTGCTGTAGAATGATATAGTATAGCCATTTTAATATGACTGCCAGGGCAAGCAAATTTTCTCAAAGGAAAGAATCATGTGGTTTCTTTATTTTAACATTTGAACCCAACACGTAATTGGATATAGAACAAATCATGGGTTTATAAGTCTACAATTTGTATTAATAGTAATCTTTGTTCCTAACATTTGGTCTTGTTTTGGTCCAACCCAAAAAACGGTATCTGAACGCATTTAGACTTATCCCCGTCTTACTCATGATGAAACAGACGGGTCTAAACAACATGCCAACCTTTGCCACTGCCTTTGTGAAAGTGAATTGGACCAAAGGCAGTAAGCGCTGAAGTTCACCCATGAAGTTCCCTGTTATCCAGCAGCTCGACTCTGTCCGTTCAAATCATCCCGGCTACAGTTGCCTCATTATCATCTGCAAACGTTATTGAAATACTCTCAAAATAAACCAAATTCATTTCTCTCAATATCGCCCACTTCTAGTTAGCAGAAGTTGGACTCTATTTTAATCTGTGCTAATTTCCACGATGGATGAAAGTGAGGCTAATCTCTTTTGTGGTACTCTCTCTCGATTATGAAACGTCTGCGTTGAGGAGCATGTTTAGCTGTCTGTTCCAAAGAGCCCCAGGCCTTGACTCTTTCATTTATTTATTTCTTCTTTGAAAGCGTTTCTCGTCATCTGATGTGTTTTTGTTTCCTCCTCCTCTCAGAAGCCGCAGGCCGCTCTCTCTGTTCCCTTTCATTGTGATCAGCTAATATGCCAGCGCTCCATATTAGCATTCCAGACTTCTATTTTTTACATTCTGTCAGAACGACTGGAGCTCAACCTACTTTCCGGCTCTTGATTTGTCTGTGATCAGTCATGCACGTCTTTGACACATTCTTTTCATTTATTTATTTGAAGAGGACAGTGCATAGTAATGAACTCAAAAAAGAAACTTTGTGGATAATTTCCTTCCATCGTTCTCGTAGGATTGATCCACCTCTCAGTACTACAGGCACTAATGATGCTGTTTGTGTGTATGTGGCCAGAGCACGAGGGTTGGCTGTCTTTCAGAGCCTTTTATTTCCATAAGATTCGATACGATATATTTCTAAACGATACGATACAGTTAAGGAGTCAGTGATTTATTTATTTATTTTTTCTTCGAGTTGGTGCTACGGCTAAGCTAACAAAATCGCTTACTGCATCTTCAAGTTAAGAAAAAAGGCTTTTGGGCTCTTTATCTAACGCGTTTTAACATGAATAAAACACAAAACATTGTTTGAATATTAGTGGCTATTAACAGTCATTGTGTGTATTTATTGTACTAATTCTATTACTAAAACATTGTTGTATAAACGATTACTAAATCTATTACTACATTTAAAACGTGTGTTGTCGAGAGGCACAAAGAATATTCTAAATGGCAGGTAATTAAACATGATTACGTCTACATAGGTCACACACAGTCATTCAAACAGGAAAGGAGTTTCATAAAAACAAGTGGAGTCTCTACAAAGTGTCGGTGAGCACTTCATACTCGGTCACAGATTTGAAGGTTTTCTCCTCTTTCCTCCGGTTGGCGGCAGACTGTGGGACCAGGCCGTACAAGCTGAACCGCATCGTTGGAGGGCAGAACGCAGAGCTGGGAGAGTGGCCGTGGCAGGTCAGCCTCCACTTCCAAACATACGGCCACTCGTGCGGAGCCTCCATCCTGTCCGAAAAGTGGCTCCTGTCTGCGTCACACTGCTTTGTCACCCAAAGCCAGGAGTATGTACTCAGCCTTTTATTTAAGTTATTTTATTTTTTGATTCATGAAAAATATATTTGTCCCAAAAGAAAGTAATTCTTTTTTTTTTTTTTTTTTTTACAAATGAGACTGTCATTTTTGTTTTAAGTGAGGGTGGTCACTTCTTTCATTCTTCAATAGTTATGAACGTAAATGAGAGAGTGAATGATGGTGTTGAATGGGGGCTGATGCGCCAGTGTGTTCGGCGACTTGCGTCATCACCGTGTGTGGAATGATTGGAACAATATCTGAACTCTGAACATTGTAAAGCGCTTTGGGTGACCTTGGTCTGTAAAATGCGCTATATAAACAAACATTACTTACTTCTGTCTGAAATGTGTCCAAAAACACATGCAAGTAAAACCTAGTGATAAAAGAAAACCGTTTTATTTTCAAAGTTTGTATATTTTTGGTTTAGCTACTCCAGCTTTAATAGACCACAGATGAACAAATAAACTAGCACACTCACAAATTGCTTACAGTGCATATCTGTATAATTATGTTAGAAAAGAGAAAATCAGTTTTCTGAAGTGTAGGTTCTCCGTGGGCCTCTAGGTGGCACACTGGCCATGTTGATCCATCAGTGAGCTGCTGTTGTGGTTTCAGACTGCACCTGCTGTAAAGCCTTACACTACTGACTTACACTACAGAAATGAAGTCCTCTCTAGTATTTATTTTTGCTTCAGTATGACCAACATTACTCTTCTGATCAAATGTGGTTTATATAACAAGTCTCACGATTCCATTCCCTGATAACGTTATTGCCAAAGGTTTTATATAATCTCAACACAATGTGCTTTTAGAGTACTATAATGATGGCTTTTGTACTTGGGCTGTAGGCCACCAAAGGAATGCCTTTGGTGTCAATTGAGGGCAATTGAGTCAATTGAGGGCATTACAACATTTAAAAAACTATATCAAGATATTTATTTTAAAACCTGATCAACACAATTTCACAGAACAAATAAATAGTTTTGATGTAGAACTAATTACAACTATTTACTAAATGCCACATCCTCCACTCATTTCGTTCTTGTTTTTGACAATACAAAACTTTAAGCATAATTCAACGACCATATTTTGGTCGACTTGGTTAATCACTTAATGCTGTTGACTAAGGTTGTCCAAACGTTTTAGTTAGAGGGTTATCACCTCAACAATGTCAACTCTGTATTTGATTCTTTTAATGTTTTCTGTGTTTTTCTTCTTCTACAAATAAGGACATTACTAAGTGACCTCAAACTTTTGAACAGCTGTGTAAGACCAGTTATAGTCTGTGAACTCCCGCCTGCTCGGAGAGGGCGACTTTTCCCAAAAGAAACTTTATGAAATAAGATGTTAATGCCATCAGAAAGTCCATCCTTAGCTTTGGCATTTAAATATCACTGGCCACAACCTACTCATCTTTTACATACTTCAGATGATCAAAACCCTCTTGTTGAGATGATGAGCAAGACACTTTCCTCTTCCGTTAAAAGACACTTGTCAAATAAACAATTTGTAGAAACACATTTCTGCCCATGAAACAAATTCCATTTGTGACCTTGTTGAAGTATTTTTTTTTTTTTCACAGTCTTGTTATTGGCAGTTCTTTGAAAAGAGGTGAAGAAGGGGGACATTTGAATTTGCATTGCATTCAAATATTTCTGCTCTTTACAAATTTGCCTTTTTTGCAAAATTAACTCTTTGGCCATTTCTGGTAAAAAGCCATTTGAGTCATTTTGGAGTGAGCGCCATTGCAGAATGGGTCGAATACAGAGGACAAAGTTCCCTACGGGGATAAATAATTTACATATTTATATCATTACTTATAGTTTCACTCTGTCTCTCTCCCCACACCCCAGGAACATCCTGCCCTCAAACTGGCAGAGCTACAGCGGTATGCAGGACCAGTACAAGCACGACGACGTCCAGCGGCGCTCCATCCACCGCATCGTGCCACACCCCGAATACAACATGATGACCTTCGACTACGACGTGGCGCTGCTGGAGCTGAGCGAGCCACTGGAGTTCACCAACAGCATCAGGCCCATCTGCCTGCCCTCCTCCTCCCACGTGTTCCCCGCGGGCATGAGCTGCTGGGTCACGGGCTGGGGCGCGCTCAGAGAGGGAGGTAAGAGCGCGCAGGCTTTGCTCACACTCAACAGGAATTGTTTTGTGTGAACAGGCGAGTGTTGGAGTAACTACTGATCTGTGTGTTTTACTAATGTCAATTCAGTTCAATTCAATTTATTCTTGTAAAGCCCAAAATCACAACAGTAGTGATCTCGGAGGACTTTACACAACTGTTGAATTCGCTAACGCAGATCAGAGTTTAAACTCAAGAAATGCACACATTTGGGTTAAAAAAAATACAAGACAAATGCTCCTTCTGATGATAGCATTGGTGGTGAAAGTTTTCTGACATCCTGATCCATATAATATACTTACATAATATACAGCCAATAGATCCATGCTTACAACTTGGTTAGATTTTGTTTATTATTTCCATTATCAACTCACCAGTCCAGCTGCATGCTAACAGCTGTCGAGTTAGCCACAGGATGCGTCATCGGCCTACGCCCGTAAAATGACGTATGCAGCAGTGCAACTGGACAAGAGGACTGCTATCACACAGTAGCATTGTGGTTCGACAGGAGCAGTTACTACTTAAACCAAGCTTTACACGAAACTTTGAGTCTTACAACCCACACGGAACCGTCAACATCTCGCCTCAAATTGCATTAAAAGTGACATTCGTGTCTTAATCTGTTTGTATTTGAACTTTCAAAGCAACTCACGGACTTCATGTGCGGCATCTTGGTTTGCTTCAATTGATTTTAGCTTCACATTCTGACATTCTGTCAGTTGAAGCTAAAATCAATCAAGTTTTTTTAGAAAGCACAATTGATGCAGTGCAACCCAAAGTGCAAAGACATAAAATCATACAATCCAACCAGGAGTAAGAAAACTTCAGAATGGCCTGTTTGGAATGGTGATGTCAAAGTCCTAACGTGAACCCCATTGAGATGCTCTGGCATGACTGAGGTTCCTCCCAGGAATCTGACTGAACTGCAGCAGTTACAGTGCCTTGCGAAAGTATTCGGCCCCCTTGAACCTTTCAACATTTCGCCACATTTCAGGCTTCAAACATAAAGATATAAAATTCTAATTTTTTGTTATGAATCAACAAGTGGGACACAATCGTGAAGTGGAACAAAAATGTATTGGATAATTTAAACTTTTTTAACAAATAAAAAACTGAAAAGTGGGGCGTGCAATATTATTCGACCCCTTTACTTTCAGTGCAGCAAACTCACTCCAGAAGTTCAGTGAGGATCTTTGAATGATCCAATGTTGTCCTAAATGACTGATGATGATAAATAGAATGCACCTGTGTGTAATCAAGTCTCCGTATAAATGCACCTGTTCTTTGATAGTCTCAGGGTTCTGTTTAAAGCGCAGAGAGAACCATGAAGACAAAGGAACACACCAGGCAGGTCCGAGATACTGTTGTGGAGAAGTTTAAAGCCGGATTTGGATACAAAAAGATTTCCCAAGCTTTAAACATCTCAAGGAGCACTGTGCAAGCAATTATATTGAAATGGAAGGAGTTTCAGACCACTGCAAATCTACCAAGACCCGGCCGTCCCTCCAAACTTTCATCTCAAACAAGGAGAAGACTGATCAGAGATGCAGCCAAGAGGCCCATGATCACTCTGGATGAACTGCAGATAACTACAGCTGAGGTGGGGAGAGTCTGTCCATAGGACAACAATCAGTCGTGCACTGCACAAATCTGGCCTTTATGGAAGAGTGGCAAGAAGAAAGCCATTTCTCAAAGATATCCATAAAAAGTCTTGTTTAAAGTTTGCCACAAGCCACCTGGGAGACACACCAAACATGTGGAAGAAGGTGCTCTGGTCAGATGAAACCAAAATCGAACTTTTTGGCCACAATGCAAAACGATATGTTTGGCGTAAAAGCAACACAGCTCATCACCCTGAACACACCATCCCCACTGTCAAACATGGTGGTGGCAGCATCATGGTTTGGGCCTGCTTTTCTTCAGCAGGGACAGGGAAGATGGCTAAAATTGATGGGAAGATGGATGGAGCCAAATACAGGACCATTCTGGAAGAAAACCTGTTGGAGTCTGTAAAAGACCTGAGACTGGGACGGAGATTTATCTTCCAACAGGACAATGATCCAAAACATAAAGCCAACTCTAAAATGGAATGGTTCACAAATAGACGTATCCAGGTGTTAGAATGGCCAAGTCAAAGTCCAGACCTGAATCCAATCGAGAATCTGTGGAAAGAGCTGAAGACTGCTGTTCACAAACGCTCTCCATCCAACCTCTCTGAGCTCGAGCGGTTTTGCAAGGAGGAATGGGCAAGAATTCCAGTCTCTTGATGTGCAAAACTGATAGATACATACCCCAAGCGACTTGCAGCTGCAATTGCAGCAAAAGGTGGCGCTACTAAGTATTAGCGCAAGGGGGCCGAATAATATTGCACGCCCCACTTTTCAGTTTTTTATTTGTTAAAGTTTAAATTATCCAATAAATTTCGTTCCACTTCTCGATTGTGTCCCACTTGTTGTTTTAAAATTTAATTTTTATATCTTTATGTTTGAAGCCTGAAACGTGGCGAAATGTTGAAAGGTTCAAGGGGGACGAATACTTTCGCAAGGCACAGTATGTAAAGAGGAATGGTCAAAAATGGATCCTGATTGATGATTTTGAGAAAGATCAGATCACATTTGAATCTCTCTATGCAGAAATGTGAGAAATTCCAAACGCTTCAGATACTTTTTCCGGCCACTGTACAATCCAACTTTAGTTTCCCAAATCTTCCTTCCTGTGTAGCTCCTAAGCACTGATTACTGATGGAATCCACCTGTTGGAGTTCAGCTCGAAAAGGTGCGAACTTTGTATTAGATAAAACTACTTTTTATACCTGTTTTCATTTACATATGTGGTGCTGTTTTTATTATAAAAACACACTTGGGATTCAAGTTTGTAAGATGTATTTTTCTTGGCCAAGTGAGACTCCATATGTGCTCTGATTGGATAACCTGCTGGAAAACTTGCTTGAAAACTATGTCCATAGTATTTTAAGAATAACTTATGTTCAGAAAACTTTAAATATTATTGGCACATGTCACCATCATTAGGGGACGCTCATAAAATATGTAGATGTGATTTCAAATGACAATAATACTGTCCTTAAGATACTTGTTTGAATTTATCTCCAGTATTGGCCATTGTGTTGCAGTATCCATGTACTGTAGTTAAAAATGTGAATACTTTGACCAAACTCGTTTTTGCAATAATCCTACACCATTATATTCTGTGTCAACTCCAGCAGTCGGTTTAGTTTTTCTTCTTTGTTCCAGACCTCCATTAGTCAGTCCTAGAGTCTACATAAAACGGCAAAAAGAATAAAAACTTTGAACAGTTTGTCAGACCAACATACACATTGTTAGTTCAAACAAATGCATTGTTTGTTTTCCATGAACTGGAAAGTTTATCATCTCCCCTCTCTCCTCCTTTCTTTTCTTTGTATGTAGAGTAATACATACATTTATTTTAACACACCTAAACATAATTTTGTACATGTATTTTGTATGCTTATGGTATGATTGATCCTCACTCGTGTCATGAACATTTTCTTCCTTCTTTTCAACCGTGTGCCTTCAATTAGATCACACAATCTACCACTAAGGAGGTGTATATTGTGTTTTTGATGGTTCACCTGGTTTTAAAGAGCGTTTTTTTCAATTATTTTGTTTTGTGCCAGAAGTTTGATATTACTATGAACGAAGCTAAAATAACTCATGGGTGTATCAATATTTTGCAAAATACAGCCTTTTACCAAAAAACACTTCTATCTGGAATTTGGGAAGTTTTGTTTTTTCAATCCAGAGGTGATCCTTCAAGGCCTTGAGTCGATAGTTTGATAGGAATCCACCCTATTCATGATGTCTAATGTAATTACCTACTTGTTAGAAGTGCATATTTCACTGCAGTAGTAAATGGTCAAGCTCTTTACAATGAGAAGCTATTCTGGCCGTCCTGGTTTGTGTCCGTTTGACTCGCTGAAGTCGTGAGGTCCAGATCGGTCGCTCATCTGACAGATCTTCTGTGTATTTCCGGGGTGGAGCAGCCGGCGGTGCATCTGGAGCATGTGGTGCGTAATGACTTCATGTGCTCCGCCAAGTGCTTTTGTTTTGCTTTTCCATAAAGTGTAGAAGTCATGAACACGTGGTGAAAATATCAGCAATTATACTGCAGCGTGTGCAAAGGAATGCACTCGTTTCTCCAATCTCTTTGAATTTTAGTCGCTGCGGTGATATGTCCCCCGTGCTCCTCCCGCCCTGCCCTGCTCCCCCCCCCCTGCTCCGAAGATGATCCTGCTGCGTTCAAACTCAAAATACTGATGTGACAGACTCTGCTGACATACAGTCTGAGAATAGCTCTGGGTGAACTGTTTGTGACGGGTCTTATTTAAAGAAGAAATATTATGCATTATTGTTTGCCAATATTTTTATTTGATCTTATTTTGGGATGCCAAAAAAAAAAAACATTGTAAGCGATTAATGTTAGTACTGTTAACTGATCCTCTTATCACTAATTATGTTTTGGGATGATTCTTTAGAACGATCCAAAAATTAATGATGCAGTTGTTTACCTGAGAAAATTGCCTTTTCAAAATGAGGTATAACATGCCATGGAAGCCCATCGTCCGAATTGAAAAAAAAAAAACTGACAATACTGTTTTGCAATAATCCCACACCATTATATTCTGTGTCAACTCCAGTCGTTAGTTTAGTTGACACAGAAAATATTAAACCAGAAATCAGTCAATTTCTAGCAAATTTAGGCAACTGAAGACAATGGAGGCATAAAGCATAACGGAAATGCTGCTAGGTAGGGCAGAGTAGGGCCAAGTCGGGCTGAAGAAAACTAGGATATTGTCTCCTTTAAATCAAGTTATTTGTCTCAATATTATTTTTTGCTGTAAAAAAAATCAATACAAGCAGCAGTGAATGTTGTTGTGCTGTCTCCATTTCACTTTGTCTCTAACATCTTCCTTCCTTCCCTTATCATGACACCCCACCCTCCTGTTTGGACTCATCTTTTTCTAATCTCCTCTTTTCCATTAAGCCCCTTCCCATAACTATACATCAGGCCCGACAGGTGCTCTCCTGGGACGATCCTTAAACCTTCATTAGCCAACACTAATCCAGACCATTACCACCTTTTTTGAAGCGCCGTGGAAACAGTGGGACGTTGTGTTTCTGACAGTTTGTTTGTGTGTGTGTGTGTGTGTTTGGCAGCCCGGGCGGCACAGTTGCTCCAAAAAGTCTCGGTGAAAATCATCAATGACACAGTTTGCAACACGGTGACGGAAGGCCAGGTCACGTCCAGGATGATGTGCAGCGGCCACTTGTCAGGAGGAATGGACGCTTGCCAGGTGACACTGGATTTCAGATGGTTGAGACCAAAATGCTGTTTTGTGATTTTTCTTTACAGGTTGTTTTAGGCTGGTGCTTTGTGTACTGGGTGTAGCCCTGCCTGCCACCCCCCGAACCAGAAATGGATGGAGGTTGTTTTAGTTTAGTTTATTTATTTAAAGTGACAAGGACAGTGTACAATAAACATTAACCTCAAATGGAGAGATGCATTGTACCAGGTTATAGCAAAGCCCCAGTGATCAAATCAATGGCTTGTGCTCAGTAGCGCATGGGACATGCATGGAGGCAGAAATATTAGCAGAAATCGCCTGTATTTGGGCATCGTCTGGTCCTGGTTCTGCGCAGTGGACAAGCTCCCATTATGCGTTTGCGCCTAATACTCTCATGCACCTGCACAAAGGGGCTCGGCCGCGCTTTGACCAATCAGAGCTGCTGATCAGAGCGGAGTCAGAGCGGAAGACGAACGAGTTTGTTGCAGTAAAGTGTAAATTTATAGAAACAGAAGGCTTTAGTATCCCTTGGGGCCGACAAGGGACACTAAAATCCCCACAAAATCCAACTTTTATGAAAGCTGTAGGTTCTGTCAGCTGAGGATGTGCTGTTTTAGTTTACATTGAGTTCTATGGGACATTTTTCTGGGTAGCCCAAGTGAATTCTGTCTGCAGTACCACTGGCGCCCCCTGTGCCCATGGGTGGGACAGCTATAAGCTAGTGATACCCTATCCAGATATTATTATATATCCATAGTTATACTGTAGCTCAACAGCTATTATCCACCTGTAGTCCCTGGGTTATAAAAATAACAAACATACATGGATATACAGTTATACATTGCCCAAAATTAATAAAAGATAAAGTCTTCATGTGCCCAATTTTTAAAAACCTCACATTGTTTATAAACTGAAACAAACTTTTGACTGTTACTATAGTGAAGTGTCTGACTATAGCAATACGGTGAGTGTATTCACCAATTAGACTCCATAATGTTGTGACGTCTCATGAATGCAGATTATTCGATCTAAGGTGGCTTGAATTTACTAATGGTGGAAAAGATCCAATTTCCCTTACCAAAGTTACGAGGGGCCTTTTGAGAGATCTCTCTGCTCAGGTGGATACTACTACTATGCAAGTTCCTTGCATGGTAGTATTTTTTAGTGTGCTTTGCTTATGCTTGTGAACATTTCAATAAAATGCAATTTAATCAAGGACAATGCACATAAACATTATTCTTATAATAGAAATTAGGGGTGTGACGATATATCAATTTTTCGATATATCGCACTACTTTCTCCCGCGATTCGATTATCTTTATGCATTTGCCAAGTATCGATGTTTTTTTTTTTTTTTTACATTTAAAAAAAAAAAAACTTGGTATCAATACTTAATATATGGCTACATTACGCATCTCCATTTCATTTATCATGAAATAAAGTGTATTTTTTCTTTTATTTATGCCATAAATTGGCATATTGTATATTTCTGAACCAATATATCGATAATCGTTATCGTGATATCGTTATCGTGATAATATCGTTATCGTGAGCTTTGTATCGTATCGTATCGTGAGGTACCCTTAGGTTCCCACCCCTAATAGAAATTATGTCATTTTCCAGTTATTAGGTCAAAGGCTGGTTTCCACTGTAGTCCCTGGACAGGTTGATGTCCTTTGACAATAAAACATCAGTTTTCAGCCTTATTCAATCAAGTTCAAACATCACTCACTCAGTCGCCTGTGTTACTAGTGTGTACAGGTTTGATGTGAGACTAACGTCTGTTTGGTGAACATGTGTCAGCAGGAAGTGCTCCAAAGGTTAATGGTGATTAGCTTAGTTGATATGAGAAAGATTGCTGAGTGAATGTGGTTTTAAATCTGGGAACATAGCTCTCTCCTGATTGTGGAGGGAAGGTCAGAAACCTATGGTTGTTTTTTTATTTCATTTCCGGCCGACTGCTGCCATGACCGACAAAGTTCTCGTCCTCCCTCCTCCTCAAAGGTCAATAAGTTGAACCCTCTTAGACCAAACTGTTGATTGGCAAGACGCTTTTACCATTTCAATTGATAAGTATTGCACTAGTGAACAAGAGATTGATGCGAGTTGGAAGGGGCAAAGAAGCAGCTTCCATCAGTCAACACAGAACAGTTGTAGAGTTGGGATAGCTAACTTTTTTATAAATTTTTATTTCTCCAGAAAGTGTACAGTATACACATAGTAAAGGTGATTCTAACTGGATTTGGAAACACAGATGTACAGAGGTGCATGTTGCTGTCCTAGTGGTATACACTAATCATGGCGCCTTTGTACAAGGGTTTTCTAATCTTCAAAATAATGAGATTTCATGGAAAACATTTGTATGGGTAAATAGAAAAAGCCACACATAACCCTAACTCTTACTTATTTTCTTATTTCTGCAGTTAAGATAATTTCTATACAATAGATTACTATACAGTAATTTAACTAATTTATATTGGTCTATTCATTCTATAATAATTGGCCCATAAATAAAAACATTTTTGAATTTTAACTTTGTTTTGATAAATTCTGACCGACCACGGTCACCCTCTGGTGGTTGTTTAACACATCTCTAATGTTCGGGTTCTGTTCTGTTGGACTGAAAATGCACTAAACTGTGTAGTATAAATGCTCTTTACATTCTCTTGTCTCTATTGAACCCTGGGCTCTGACTGTGTTGGCTTCAGGGGGACTCCGGCGGGCCCCTGTCCTGCTTCGAGGAGAGCGGGCGCTGGTTCCAGGCCGGGATCGTGAGCTGGGGCGAAGGCTGCGCTCGCCGCATGAAGCCTGGGGTCTACTCCCGCGTCACCAAGCTCCGCGAGTGGATCAAGAAAGAGACCGGCATCTGACATGGACGGTGAAAGTGAAAGTACAAGTGCCAAACACACTGGGGCTGAACATTTGAAGTGTCTCCTGGATCTGTTCATTCTGCTGCAGACACTCACGGCCAAAGGGACTGCTTTTGGGAGCCATTTCTAACACTGTTGTAAATGTTTAGAACTTTTAAGAAATTTTAACAATAATGGCGTTTTTTAAATGACTTAAAGGAGACCTATTATGCATAGTTTTTGTTTAGCTTTTAATTATTTTGGAATTCTCGCCCATCTAAACCGGACTTTGAGTAGTTTTAACTCCATCCAACGTCCATTAAATTAGAATAATTATTTTTTTATATTTTTAATCCAAAACTTAAAGCCAAAGTAAATCATTTTTTTCTGGCCAAAATAATAGAATTTTATAACATACAATATTGTATATTTTTCAAAGACCTCCTTTTTTGTATATCTTTATCTTTTGATAACTTTACTTGTTCAGGTCAACTCTGCTCAAATCAATTGAATGTTAAAGTAATTATAGAGTTATAGAGAGAGTTTTTCACTGTGCTTTTATGATCTATTTATGAAATAATAAAGTTGGATAATCCAAATTTAAAGGGACAGTATTTCATTTTTTAATTCTAAAGAATATTTTTTGTACAAATCATATTTGACCTTTACTGGACAAAAGTTTATAATGTTGTTAATCTTAATTAAAAATAAAATGGATATGATGTCCACAATATTCATGTGTGTGAAATTAAGCTTATTTTTTGTTGTAACAGAATTCACAAACGGGCACCACACATAGTTAATTGAAACCAGGTATTTAAATACTAAGTGGTTATATAAAGTTTGTGCCATTTCTAGTGCATACTACACTCTATAAACGGCCTGAATCCAGTTTTAAGCGTCTGCTCTTTCAATTGCTTTTTTTTCTGACTTGTGACCAAAGACGTCTCTGGTTTTGTCTTTAGGTGTGATTTGATGGAATTCTGTCAAAGTTATGCTTTTTATTGCTCTTATCAAAGTGGTTTTAACAGACAAAAGCTCGACAGAATATAGACCTGAATAGATTTTGAATACACTCCAAAACTTTTGAGCATTTATTAACTCATGTTTTCAAATCGAGTGTTTATCTTAAACAGATTTGCCAATGGGACAAAGCCATTTCGTCTTGCATTTTTGTTCTCATTCAAAGAGACCAATTTCTTGTACCTTTTTAAAACAATATAATTTTACAAGATAGAATAATTTTTTAGCCATTTGCAGTAAAATCACGTTGGCACACACCAGAGCTCTTGCCACGGTGGCATCTTTACGGCGCCATGTGACAATGGCTTGTTGGCAAATCCTGTTTTAAAGGCAGTGAACATCAATTGAAACTAAGATACATTTTACCAATTGTGAGAAAATGTTGACTTAATTTTTCATCCCTTTTTGCAGTGTAGCCTGATGATCCCGTTTTTAAGCATCTCCTATTGACGATACTTTATTTAAACAGTCAAAGTATATTCCAACAGATAGAGTACTGATACTGCTGAATACAAGCATTTGCAACTTTTTTGCAGTGTGATTGTACCATAAATAATTCAGGCTGCAAAAAAGAGCCCCTTGTTTCATACTAATTAAAGCTTTTTATTTTGTTAAATGTCAAGGCCATTTTTCTTTTATACCCGTGCAAAAAAAACCCATAAATTTTAATACAATGAATTAGCTACTTCAAATAGGAATTAATCCACTCAAAAGGCAAGGGATACGTTTGGAAGGAGGCCAGAGAGTTGGAGTCTGAAAAGTGCTGATGTAGGACTGTGGACTTCTTACTTTCTCTGCTGCTCTGCTGCCTCTGCGCAGGATAAAACACATTTAAATACAAATTGGGAGCAGAAATTTGAAAAAGGATTAGGCGAGTGTGAATTTACAGGTTACTTTGTGATCACAAATACCTGACAATAAAAACCAGTGACGTTTTAAAGTGATGGCTGCAATTTAATTTGTATTTCATTTTTAAAAGATTAATTCTGACCTCGGCACACAGCACTGTCATGTATTTCTCAACAATAATTTATAGAAAGTTGTTCTTCGCCTTGGGATAACGGCGCACAGTGAAATTTTGCTGGAGGAGAAAAGCTAAACTAATTAGGAGGGGCTCTCAAGGATTTATATTAATTTTGACTTACCAGGAAGTTAGTCAAAACATTCGCGGGTCTAACAAGTGCTTACAAATTTCAAAAGTAACTGATATTCACTTTAATCTTGTATTGTACCATTTTTAGTTGGACTTTTCCATAACCATAACCCTTATATTTTTGTTTGTTTTAAATTTGTATCTTTACTTTACTATTTACTTTGGTATTTCATGTTTTAGAATAGGAATAACAGACAGTCGGATGAGCAAAGCGCCCTCTATCGTTCAGAGTGGAAAATTACATTCTTTCATCGCCAACTTTCTCTGGCACAATCTAAGGCACGCAGATATAGAGTTGTAACTTGACTGGGAAAGTAAATTGATATTAGCTTTAGCCTTCTTACAACATAGTATTTTCTCTAAATATGCACAAGCTTTTTGCACATATGCACATTTAAAAATGGTGAGTGCAAACTGCGCCTTGTTAGATTCTCAATTATGAAAACCATGTAATTTCCCTCTTCCAGCACTAGACGGCTGTTTTTCCAGTGTGTGTAGTATGGGCATGTATAATGTAAATGTTTTTTACTTGACACATATTTTCACATTCTAAAGCATACAATGACAAAGTTAATGATCTTCATATTCTACATTATTAATATTATTTTTCAACAAATGCCAAAGAATTGAGAATAGTCTATTTCTAATGCTGCGCAGAATGTCTCTACTGTAAATCTGTATATTGTGGCTGTAAATTGGAAGTGAATTGGTTTGTATGGGTATTTTCATGTGCGAGTATGCAGAATGTCTTATATACTGTGTCATATGCCATAGGCGGAACAATAAATCTATTTTATTTGAATCCCAACAGTCTAATTGCACTATATTTGTCTGGGTGTCGTTCCGCATCTTGTTGAATATAATAAATGTTGTGTGAGGAGTTGGGTGTAATGAGCGCGTAGTCTCCTCCCCGCCGCGGAGACGACAGTGCGCAGATGACAGGGGCGCGTCACTGTGGGCTCCTCCGCCGCATCAGTCTTCATTAAACACGGCTCCACTGGGGGAACGGGAAAATCAACACGCACTGTATACTGCTAATTTATGTATTCATCATTGTTGTGACATGGGAGGCTTTGTTTACTACTGCACTGAAAAAAAAAAAAAATGTTAAAGGGACAGTGTCAATTCTAACGTTAAATTACATCTACATTATGACTATTGGAGTAGTTATAATGAATTAAAATGGCATTGGGCGTAACCAGTTTGTTTTGTGATGGGCCTCATGTGCTATTATTTGTTTGTGAAAAGAAAAAAAACCACGCATATAGACATAAAATGAGGTACATAAACAAAGTAGTCTAATGTTTTTAGAGTTTGTTATTCAGAAAGGTACATTTTTGTTGAGTGTTGAAATGTTTTGTACTACTTCAGGTATGTCCAAACCAAGGACAAATGTAGCCCACTGTTACATTTGATGTGGCCCTCTGCCTTGCCAATACAAACTCTCCATTGAGGCGATTTCAGTGTCATCCAGCCAACTTCAGCTCCACCAAAATAGTCATGCTGCACCTCGTTGTAAAGCTCTGAACCTTTGAAATTCTAATTGGTTTTCAATTGTGTCACTAGTGTAGATGTAGTGTTGATACTTTTGAGTATATACAATTTATATACAAGAGAACCCAAAGCCTCAAAAGAAGTTGTAGAATGTTGTCGGCCCCTGGACAAGTCTGGTGAACTAAAGTGGTCTGCCTACTAAATAGTTTGGACACCCCAGTATTGCCTATGTTTTGGCTGCAGAGCTGTGAGCCATCTTCAGAACTGTCATCGTGAAGTGTTATTTATACGCCAGTGTTACTTCCTGTCGTGTGGTCAGCCTGATTGACCCAACCGGACTCTCAGACTGACCACGCCCCCCTAGCACAATGGTTTCTGGAAAAGGTTGTATATCTAACTTGTCTTTCAAACCACATGAACAAAGGTTGCATTGTAATTGTAAGGACTTTATAAGAGAACACCAATTGCCCCTTTAAAGCTTGGGTATGTAACGTTCAAACAAAGAACTATGTATTAAAATCTAACTAGTCCATTGCTCTCAAAACAGTTTGGTTCAATCACTATAGTTTTCTCATTCGAATTTTATTTTGGTCTTTTTGCAGCTGACAGGACCTCCCCCACTCAGCCAATCAGCAGTAACTTGCAGGGCTCTTTCTATTTAAAAAAAAAGTCTGCATGTTGTGGTCTGATTTGTTCACAACAAGTTACTTTTACAAAACCATTGGAAAAAAATATGAACCGTTTCTGAATCAACGTTTGGATACCGCAGCTTTAAAGGAGCAATGCATAACTTTCCAATGGCTATTTGGGTTTTAAGTTTTCCTAGATGCAGTGACTGTGGACAGTGATGATCCAGGACATTTGTGTGTTTTCTATTGTTGCATTTCCTTGTCTTTTAATTATTTTATTATCTAATATGTTGGCAGCAAATTGACTGTGCTGTAATAGCTGCCGAGACAAGTTCTGTTGTGATTATAGGCCATACAAAAATCTATTGAACTCAATTGATGGGGTCTACAGTCTCAAGCACACAAATGACGATGCTCTTCTTTGCTCTGGTTCATCTCAGACTGAGCAGGAGACCACACACTGATTTACTGAAGTGGTCCATGCTTCACCGCGAGTCACTTGTGCATCTTGCCTCCTGGTGATAGTTTGGAGACTGTTAATGTTGTGGTGACTGAAATATTTCAGTTTGTCATTAGAGTCTCCATCTACATCCACAAGTTCACTGGGTCTTATCTATGGAGAGGAGAGCTCACCGGATTTAAGAACTCAGATTTTTGAGCATTGAAATCTTCATTACATGTTGGATAGACCTCCAAACATTAAATATATCCTTAAAATAATGTGTATTATTTTAATGTTCCAGTGCATCACTTTTCAAAATACACTCTTGTAATAATAGAAATTTATATATTGAATTGAAAAAACTCCACAAACCTGACTTTGTTTCCATGGAAATGTGTCATCTTCCACTCCATAAATGTTTGGTTTCGTGAAGGATGTCGTGAATAATTACTTATTTATTAATAATTACTTATTTATTAATAATTACTTACTTATATTACTTATTATATTACTTAAATATAAGTAATATAAGTAATACAATTACTTATATTATAAGTAATTGTATTGCTTATATTACTTATAATACAATTATATATACGTAATATAATATATAATATATATATAATATATACAATTACTTATATATTACTTATAACTTGTTATTTTTATTTATAACATGTTATTTTTATTTAGTTAACTTGTTAATAGCTTCATTTTAGAGTAGTTTCTCTTTTCCTCTGCGTCCATTGCTGCTGTGACGTGAACGCTGATGCTACTGTTCCCTGAAAAGCAAGACTCACACCGCTGTTATCGGAAATGATTTTATTTAAATATAAATATGTGTACAAAGGTACAAGCAACAATAGCTTATAATAGCAAATAAACTTCTTAATACATTATTAAAACAATAAAAATGGATGGCAATTAGTTGTGACCAAAGAAATCATGAATTGCGTTGAACGATATGGATAACATACAATGAAGCCCAAATAAATCAACAGATAAATGTATATAAAGTTTTTACAGTTTAGCAGCTTGCACGCTGTACATTAAGGCTTGTTAAAAATATAAAAATAAAGACAAGCGATGTTCTTTGCTCTCTCTGGTTGGCTGCCTGCGAACGGCGTGGGACAATGGCAGTACAGGCATTCACACACAACAGGCCGCGTGACCACACCCACGGCTCGGACATGAAATGGTTATGGAGATAAACGCTGAAAAGTTTCACTAGACACGTCTTTTGCATGCAACAAAGAAGAATGGGCCCAGTCATTTGTACACATGGTTTTCAGGGTAGTTCTGTTTTTGTAAACATGTCAGGATGTATGTGGTACTTTGGACTGCTGCACTCTCCGCACAAACCCCATGATGCTGCCCTTCAGGTCACTATTCAAGATTGCCACTGTTTGTTTGATCTAAGCTAACTTTTGATTGTTCCATAATAGCAATTTCTTTGTTTCTCCATTTGAATTCACTTTAAAAAACAGCCCCAAACACGAACAGGCCCCTCCACTACAGCCAGCACCATCTGTGGCTCCTGTAAGCCCCCCTCGTCCCTCCTTGTCCCTCCCCAGTACATTACATACATCAATCCTTTGACTTTCCACAAAGTGTCAGATAAATTACACATTCTCTTCATATCCTGACCAGCACTGCCCCATAGACTCCACCTGATTGGACGAACCAAAGTCATTGGGTCAGTAGAGCCATCCTGTTGTGCAGAATCATTTCAGACAGTTTGTTGATGATAGACACAAATGTGCTTAAAATTCCTTTTGCATGCCAACAAAACACCAAATGGCAGACAACAGTATGTGTTTTTTTTCCTTGAATATTTTGTAGTTTCTTCATTCAAGAAATAAGAGGCCATAGCTGATGTGTAGTAAACTCTGGAATGCAGGTAAACAGCTCCCCAGCCATGACCATTCATATAAGGAGAGTTCATGGCCCTGACGCTGGCAGAATACCTCCAGTCTGATTGGACTCGTGGAGATAACCTGATGAGGTATCGCTTATTTAGAAGTTGTACTCCCAACATCTCAGTTTGTTGATTGCTCCAGCTTCATCGTTGTTCCCGCAGTAAAATGGACTTGGTTAATTCATAACCATAATGACTTCTTCCAAAAACAGTTCAAAGTGTCCAATAAGGACCATCCAAGAGAAAGTCATTGAGTGGTTAATCCACAGCGGTGGTCCACAAGTGTCCCGCGTGTGCACCATCAAACGTGCGTTTGCATTCGCTGTGAGGGGCGTCCGTAGTCCGACTGTTGGGACGACACTTGTGAGGAGGCGTACGAGAAGCGAGAGGAGCTGGACACTTTGCTGGCCTGGTCTGACTGGTCGTAAGCATCCACCTTCTCGTAGGAGGCCGGTTTGACGTAGCTGGTGAAGGCGCGGCCGTAGGGCGCGGGCAGGTAGGCTGAGCCGCTGTAGGCGGGGTCTGTGGGGTACATAGCGGCCTGCTGCACGGGCTGCTGCGCCGTGGGCTGCTGCTCGTAGGAGGAGCGGCTCACGGTGTTGGTGGCGTATCTGTGGGCGAACTCGTAGATCCGGGGCTGGCTGCCGTGCTGGCCGTACACTGGGCTCGGCGAGGGCAGCTGGGATGGAGTGTAAACCGGACGCGAGTTTGGACCAAACTCCGAGAAGCCAGATCCGCGGACGTGGCGCTCATCATGCCCACGCACATTATAGTATCCATTGGTTGGATCCTATTGGACAAACATTCACAGGGATATTTCAGTCACATTTGCACACAGCACTTATTAATCACATAAAGAATCATCTTCGCACCTTAATGTCTGATCGCTCGTCGTCCTCCTCCTCTAACAGATCGCTGTGTTCTGTCCTGGACGTCCCCGGAGACTCGCTGCTGTTTGGAGCCTGAGGGAAGACCACGCACACGCCATGAATAAGATGAGGCTCATTTGAATAAGTGCAAAACAAAACTCTCAGTGTTTTTGACAGGCCTCATAAGCCATTACTAAAGACACCAGTGTGTTCACAAAGTCTCTCACCATGGGCTCTTTGACGTCCTCCTCGTCATCGTTGCCTCGGGTGGCGTTGTGATCGCTGTGGACTATCTGAACCCGGATGTCGCTCTTGGAAAGGCGCGTGCATCTTTTGCCTATTGACACAAAGTGATTATTTCAGATTATTCAACACTCGACAGCTGCATATGTATAATGGATTGTGTTGGTAATTAGAATGCGTAGCTCATACTAACCGTTGAGCTCACCTTTGCCTGTGTGTCGGCAGCACAGCGACACCAACGTGATGACGCAGATGAGGAGCACGCAGCCCCCGCCCACTGCTCCTCCCACGATGATCAGCATCGGAAGAGCTTCTGCAAAAAAACAGTATTACATTAGTCTACATCAGGGGGATCCAACTCATTTTGGTCAAGGGCCGAACAATACAAATAGGAACTTGCCAGAGATGGAAAGAAGAGATTTCATTGTATCATAATTGCTTTCTCATTATAAAGGAATTTTGATATTACTTTTATGTGACATGAGTTTCACTTTTATTTTCTGGGGAAGTAAGACCCGGAATTTTTGTGAATTTTTGTGTACAGATTTCAACACAAGGTTTTCCACCAAAGACTGGTTTAATTGTTTGCATCATAATGGTTTATTTGCCAAAACCAAAGAATTTTTTTTTTTTAAATAAAGCTGGTGTCCCTATAAATCCCTCCCATAGAATATATACTTTTAGTCTGTCTCAACAGAAAGAGTCTTGTAAAAGTCAAATGTTATAAAAAAAAAAACTTTGCATAATTGTAAGAAAGAGCCCTGTTAGTCACTTTGGGCTGAGAGCTGATTGGCTGGTCTCAAGATGTAATATATCAAAACTAAAGAGCCAAAGCGAGGAACTATAGATGGGGTTTAAGTCATTCACATCATATCTGACCACATTTTTAGTCGCACCAATCCCACACCATCAGAGCGCGTAGAAATCCATCAGTCCTGTTCAGATCTAGCATATGCCATTTACGCTATCGCCGCCGCTTCCACTTCACGCTGCCCGGTCATTGTCTGTAATCTCGGCGCGAGGAGGGTAATAAGGCCTGACATGCAATGAAGCAATAGACAGTAATCTAATTAGAGATTCCAGGAGATACCACTGGCCATTTCTCCGGAGACCCCACTCACCGGCTTGATGCAAATTACTAATGAAGTCTTTTTTTTATTTTTTTATCAGCAACAAAGGCTCATGCTACAACCGTGCGGACGATCGGCGGCACTTTCTCACATGACCTAATGGGGCCCGGATGCCGCTTTCGGGTCTCGGTTACAAGCGAATATGACCACAAACGCGTGCGGTTTCCTCTAATTGACTTTTGCGCCCTGATCGATCGCTGTGTTATGGGGCAAACATATTCATTAAAGGAGCCTTCTGCTGATTACATCAAATCGATTAGAGGAGTATAATTAAGATAAGCGCAGAAATAAAGCTCTGTAGTCCCGCCTCTCCCGGTCCAGATGCCCGGAAGCAAAAAAAAATCACTTCATGAGCTTGTGGATTTAAGGAAAAATTCAAAGAGTGAGTTATGCAGTAGTTTGTGATCATTACATTGTTTATTCCAACAAAAATAAGACAAAAATGTTGAAAGACATGTCACTTCCTGATTATAAAAACTCCATATCCCATAAACCAATGTGATACAGCGCACCTGGGCTCAACCTTTATTTAACAAGAAAAGAAGAATATTTTTTATAGGGGATTTTTGTACTCAGAGAGAGGGGAGCTATTGTACATGTTTTTAGTGAAAGGGGAAACCTAATGCAGACACCGGAGAACATACAAACTCCACCTAAAAAGAGCCTGTCTGGAGGTGAGAAGCGAGACTGCTAACCACTCAGCCACCGTGGTTGCACACAATCATATATCTAAAAATATATATAGCTAGCTGTTAAAAAGGGAACGTTAAACTCAACCAATCAAAATCCTCAGACTATGATCATGACAAAGCCTTCTGGGTATTGTAGTTCTTGGAAGGAAGGCTTGCTGTTAACACTTTTTTTCTCAAACTATATTTATCTCAAACATGCTTTATTCTCCTACATGTGGAGATTGCGTTATCATCACAGCTGGTTTCAACACAAGAAGACTTTTTTTTTTATCCTTACGACCTCATACAAAGGTAGATTTTACTTCCTGAGCCTTGAGAGGACAGGACTACAGATAAAGGGGGAGACGTACCTTGCTCCTTCAGCGTGACGAGAGCGGTGCCGGTGCCAAAACGGTTCCAGGCGGTGCAGTTGTAGCGCATTTGGAAATCCTGTGCAAGAGTTTCGGAAAGGACGAGCGTAGAGACCACGCCGACGCTGCTGGTGACCGTGTGCACCGAATACCGACCGGACGAGCCAGAAGAGAGGGTCATGTCTCCGAACGTCCACACCTGAGCAGAGGAGAAGCAGGTTAGACCCCAGCCTCAGTCACAGATCTGTCTTACAAGTACGCAAAAGCATGTTATCGTCTGAATTGTTCATTTTACCTCTGTAAGACTCTTTTTGTTGGACGAACATGTACTTATGTATTCATCAAAGAAAGGTTAGGTACACAAACTTTTAAGGATTGATTAAGTTGATTTTATAATGCAAAATTACAAACGTAAATTTTGTCACAACATTTTCCCCTCATGCCCTGAGTTGTTTATAGATTGATCTGTGCTAATATAAACCCGTAACTCCGCCCCTTTTGTCTAAAAGCTCCTACGACTCACACTCTGAGAAGTTTTCTGCCTTTTTAAAAGTTTTAACCAATACATTAGTTTTGGTAATTTCTCAATGTTTTTTTGTTGTTTTTTTAAATTTCTTTTAAGTTTCTTTTCATAGGGCAGGATGATTGTTGAGCATTGTTTGCCCTTTATTCTTGTTTCACTATATATTTTCAACTTTACATTGTCATTTCATGTTTGAGAATTTGAAATAAAAAATAAATAGCCTTGTTAATTCAAATCTTTTCATGAGTAACAATGTACATTACAGTATGCATGTCCAAATAAGGCCCCTGACGACCACTTTTGTAACTTTTCCTCTGCCAATCTGTTCAGTGGTAGTCTTCTCTACCACCGACACTGCTCCCGGGGTAGCTGCCTCCCACATGTGCCCCGCGGGTGAGGCCTGGGGAGACTTTCTTTGCCCCGTACGTTTCGCCGCGTGGTTTCTGCGGCTAAGGGCCAGCAGGGCACCTGTCTCTCACTCCTCCTCACACCCTAATTATCCTCTCTCAGCCCAGCGCCTGCTCTCCGGTTCACCCAGGTCATCCCTGCAATGCCTCTCGGGGCGCTAATTGAATGCGCTTTGGCGAAAACCCACTGGAAACTTGCATCCTGCTGCTGTCCTTATAGTGCTACTGTCTTTCCAGAGCAAGTTAGTGCAATTACAATAGTGTTTGTTAGGGAGTGAGCTGTCAAGGTGAGGTCAGGGTTAAAACCAAGTGGAGTGACTTGTGTTCAGGTGCGATGAGCCGTTGTTCCTAAAGTAAATGGAAGAAGATGCGCCACTCACAATCTTGTCTGGCGGAGGGCTGCTTCCCACTCGGCACTCCAGCTTGCCCTTGGAGTGCTTGGTGGCGTGCTGCGTGGCGTCTGCTGTGATGATGGGCGGGCCTGGTGTGAAGAACAAAGCAAATAGCAGAACAATCAAAACGCTATTAATAATACGCAGTTGTCGCGAGTAGGAATGGGACATGTGGTGAAGTGTTGCTGTTTAGTTCTGCTCATCAACTGTGTAGACTTTTGCAGGTTGGATGGATTTTTGACTTTTTCGTGCAGTGTGAGACCAATTCCATTTGGGTTATTGAAATGCTAAACATATTGGATCATGACCAAAAATACAATAGTCCATTTGTGAATTATAAGTTGTTGGCTGGAACGCTTTTGCCTCATATAAAAACGCCAATTCCCAAACAATGAATTTTGTGTATTTTTAATTAATGAGGATTGCATGTTACACGTCCAAGCGTATTGAAAGTTTGAAGTGCACCTATAAGGGATGAGTGATTGATGTCATATTTTTTTTATTCAGATGCACATTTTGATTCTAGGAGAAACTTTGAAAATGTAAATACAATTCAAAAGTGAATCTGATAACTCAACTTAATGTGAGCTGATGAACCAAACATAAATGCATCGATAGTATAGTAGTTTTGTTCAAATGTGCAGAGTGGTTATTTTTTTACTGAAATGTATTGTATAGAAACGTGTTGTATCTGAAAGTCTCCAATATCGAGACTCTAGAAACATATCGCATCTTCAGGCTTTGAAAGATCCCGACACTCACCATTCACAGTCAGGGTCACGTCCCTCTCCGCCACTCCGATCCTCGGTACGATCGCCTTGCACGTGTAGACGCCGGCGTCGTCCTGCGTCATGGTCTTCAGCTGCAGCGTGTTACTGTTGCCGAGCACCTGCGGGACACAGAGACAACACATGAAGAACTCCACACGAGCCGACGATGCCGATGCAGTCTTCACTTGTGCCGTTTTGTTGTTGTTGCCTTTTTACTTGAATCCAGACAAATACCCTGATGTTTTTCAACCCGTGTGCCATGGCTTTGTCGGTGTGCCTGAAATTCTGTGTGGTGTGCCTTGGAAATGACACTTTTTTGTGCTTATTTGATTTTCTATGCATTAAGTTGACGAGAATGACTTTGCTTTCGTAGAAAATGCTGCAGTTTCATTTTTGTATCAGCTTCAGAAAAGGTGTGCCACGGCGCCCAAAAAGCTTGAGGAACACTGGTTTAATCCACGATTGAAGCATTCAGAGCTAGCTACGACACATAGCATGGCGGCACGGTGGCTGAGTGGATAGCACTCTTGCCTCTCAGCAAGAAGGTCCTGGGTTTGAATCCCGGTCGGACCTGGGCCTTTCTGAGTGGAGTTTGCATGTTCTCCCCGCGTCTGCGTAGGTTTCCTCCGGGTACCCCGGTTTCCCCTACCACTGAAAATATGTACAATAGGTCTGGCATGCGCCTCATGTACTGGCGACCCTGCTCCTATCTCTGTGTGGAATGAGAGACAAATGCCCAAAAATTAACAATTGTAAACTGCTTTGAGACTCAGAAGGCGGTATATAAATAAAGACTACTATTACTACTACTATATTGAATATTTTGTGAGCTTTCTGTCCTGTACGTGCGCTGCAACATTGAAATTTCCCCACTGGGATGAAATAAAGGCTCTTATCTTACTCAACTATAAACGCATACATGTTTTTCACCAGTCCAGTTGTAATTAAACAGAGCAGACAGACGGACGGACGGACGGGAGCGTGGCGTGAGCGGGCCGTAGCCTTTTGGAGTAGCCGCGGCGCTCTTGGTGCTCCTTTTGCCCATTGATACTGTCATTCCATCATGCGGCGATTAATCCATTTACCCGCTCCTGCCGCTGCTGCCCACATCGCTCCTACTCTTCCACTTTTTTTATTTCAGCACACTTACAGCGTAACCCAATTAATCCATTACTTGTAGCGTGTGAGGGACAGCGGCAGTAGGCGGATTAGAAAAAAAAAACCTGGAGTGATTTGCTCAGAAAGGCTAAAAGCTTTCACTCTTGCGGGCTGACAGCATCGCTTACGCCATCTTTTTCTTTTCTTTTTTTTTTATACTGGGGTGTTTACTCCCGCAACCGCCAAAGAAATTATATTAGAAGCCGCTCTGATGTTACCGCTGATGGGACAAGCGCAGGGACTTTTATCGGATGATGTAGGAGTATAGTGATGGAAACGTCCAATTTGCTTTTTCTAACAAATTGATTGAAAGCAAATTAATGCTCTAGTGTCTAATGCGCTGGAAGGCTGCGGAGCGAGGCGTTCGGAGGGAAGTTAACGAATCCCGCGGTTCAGAGAGGTGGGAAGAGTACAGGAAATATCATACGGCTAATTGATTAAAGCCAAATTAAAACTGCTGCTCAAAGTATTCACGACTAGTTATCTTTCTGACAGGGTTCTGACATGTTCATCTGGAAGAAACCCAGCAGGGATCGCATATTCTGGTCCAAAACTATTTACAAAAGTATAATCATGGTTTTACAAGATTGCAGCCTTTTAAACCTTGAGATGTACTTTGGCATTTCACATTTTAAGATGTGTAATAATCTAGAAGATATTTGGGAAATAAGGAATTCTAATACATTTTAAGATGTATTCCCAAAGCTAGATCTAAAAACAACTCCAGGTGGCTGTTTTCGATGCAGAACATTGCTGTGATCTTTTTCCCACAATAATTACAAAACATATTTTACGATATTGTCCAAATGGAGCAAGCCAATGCGTTAACAACATTGTGTCTCCTGTATGTGTATCCGGTTCCTCTGAAGTGAATGACTGATAACAGACAGTGTTTCTGCCTGGATATGTCAGTGGACAGTATTTTTGCCAGAGGCCTGGAGCCCTGCGGGATCCTGGAGGTGTTGAAGCCTGAGCTACAGCAGAGTGTGAAGGGGAAGTGTGAGGGCTTGGTGCCTGCAGGCCTGGATCCCTCTGGGGGGAGCGGCGTTGACGCCTGGTGTTGAAGGGGCTTCGCCGCCGTAGATGAGGTGGCGGCTCAGAGGTGGCTGGTGACAAAGTGCAGCTATTTATAACTCGTATTTGTGCTGGTATATCCTTTACTTTAGAACTTAAAGCTGGAGTACCAAACCCTGAGAACAAAACAATCCCTATGCAATAAAATCCATATTTCCTTGATCTCAAAACAGTCCAAGACCCATTTCCAGATTTTGATGTAGTCTGGGCCAGAGGTGGAGGAACCCTCTGTGGCTGGATTAACCCACCCAGACATAGAGAGAAATGTGTAAGCTCCACACAGAAAGGCGCTCATCCTCAACTACCACGCCACATGAGACTTAATATTGACTTTAGTTGGAATGACATCAGTACGTTAACTTTGACTTTGAGCTTCATTTATTTTTTATCCATTTGACCACAATTGTACTCCTCAAAAGCGTATAGTGCTCTTCCTCACCACATTGGAGCCTTGCTTGGTCCAGGCCAGCGTCAGCGGAGGGTTCCCGGTCCAGGCACAAGTGAAGGCGGCGTCCATCCCCATGTCCACAGTCATGGGTTTGGGCTCCGAGAGAAGAATGGGGCCGACTGCGGTGAAGCAACACACACCAATCAATACACACTCCATACAATAATGATTTAGTTAAGTTGGCATTTCGATTTTTATCTGAAAGTTTTAATATCCTTTTAACAACCATTCTTCAATAAACATAATAAATGCCCCAATAATCTTAAAATGTTAAAATGAGATGGAGCAGAAGGTAAGGGGTAAGAATCCTTTTTGCCTTTTTACTGGCTTATATCAAAATGCATAAAATAAATGGTTGAATTGAAACAAGCTGATAATAGAAAACCTATGCTTACACTGGACGTCCACCAGGGTGCTGACGTTGGTGCTGCCCACAGAGTTGGACACTTCGCAGGAGACCGGGTCGGTGAAGTAGGAGTAATCCACCGTCACTTCCAAGCTGTCCCCGTTCGCTTCTGTGATGGGGACTCCTCCTTTGGACCACCTGGGACACACAATAATCACATTATACACTGGCATTAGCGCTTGGAAGGCACTTAGCCAGGCGTGACAAAGTGCCTATTAGCTGATTCATGGCTCGTGTCAATCTCAATCACGCTGTGCCAATCAAAGCGGGTATTGCTCCTCTCCTCCATCAGCAGCAGCAGCAGCACCAGTTGCATCAGCATGAGTCCAAATGTAGCTTATCTGACTGTATGGACACATCTGCTGGCCGGAGCATATCCCCGTGTTTACCTGTATCCGGTGATCTCCGGGTTGGCCGAGGCAGCGCAGATAAAGAGGACCTTGGCGCCCTCCGTCACCGTCTGTGGCTGCACTGATAGTGTCACTGCGGGAGGGTCTGAAGGGAAACGCAAAATCACTCAGTAAAACAGGAGGAAATACGGATATGAGCAGTGAGATTTAGTTTTTTTCAAGTATAGAGTTGTGCTTTAGTAAATATTCACTGCGGGACGAATTTGAACGAGACTTTGGGACGAGATTGAAAGGATTTTAATCTTAATCTTAATCTGAGCAGCAATGTTTGTAGGTATAGTTTTTAACTCTTTGACTGTGAGGGTGATACCTTTTCACATTCACACACCTTTCACACACTTATTTTATTAGTGCAGTTAGAATTCACATATTGTATTGTGTTGTATGGTGCAAAGTAATATTTTTTGAAGTTTTATTAACATTTATGAATTGTGGTTATCCTGCTCCCTATGTGTTGGTGGTGAATCGACAACTTTGTAAAGTTCTCGGAAACAACTGTTGTGATTTAGAGCTATAAAAAAACAACTTGAATTGAATTGATGCAATTGATCTGTTCTAAAAAAATAATTTAGTAATCTTTCTATTTTTCATATATATATTTCATTTTTTCTATATTTTTAACAAACGGAAGCATGAGCTTTACTTAAAGGACAACTCACCCTCAAATCCACTTTTTTTTGCTGATAAACGGTATAAATGAGTGTCCAATAGTGTTGTCTACATATCCATGTCATAATTTTGTCACTTTGGTGCAAATTAGTTGAAAGTTAAACTTTCTGCCTAAAACCGTCTGTGAGGCGCCATCTGCTGGCGACCTGTATTACTACATTTGAATTTTGAATCTGGCGCCAACACTGGCGCGGCAGCAAGACCTGACGTCTGACAAGACCTGACGTCAGCAGCCCCCCGCCCAGAGCTATGTAAACGGCCCAGTCTCGTTCACGCCCCCTTTAGTCCTCCAGGCTACGCCCATTTAGAGGAAGATTTGAACAGGAAATGTGAGTGACGTAAGCTCCGAGGAGCGGGGGTGAGAACCACTTTAACAATCATTCTTCAGCTATTATAATATAAATGCATCAACATTGTTTAGGTGTCAAAATGAGGATTATTTAATTGGTTAGAAATAAATCACCTCAAATCGCTTGGAAACATATAATTGAATTGAAAGTTCCCAATATAAATCGTAATATGGACTATGCATATTGTATCGGCAAACTCTAAACTATACCAGGCCTCATCCCGATAACTTAAACAAATGTACTCACGCTGCACGTTGATGGTGATGGAGGTCTGGCGTCCCGCGGGCGCTGCAGGGTTCAGCACGCGGCAGGTGTAGGTGCGTCCGGAGTCGCTGTCCTCCGGGACGATGGGCAACATGCTGACCGCCGTCTCCCTCTTCCCATCCTCCATCAGCGTCTGCAAACACACAACACAAAAAGCACTTTATAACAGCGAGTGGTCTGCTCCTGTTTACAGCCGCAAAACAATATCAAACAAAGTGTTCCGAGCCACGCTGCCAGAACATAAAGAAAACATTAAAAATGACTTGAATTCAGGCTATTAATCTAGATCTAAAGGTGTTTGCATGTAACCGTGTAAATCAAAGCTGGTGTACCAAACTTTCAAGCAATAAACATGAAACAATGTCATAAAATTCATTGAAAAGAGTTTGGTTCTATCACAAATATCCACATGTGTCATTTTGGCCCCGTCACATCTTTTAGATCAGGTTTTGTGAACAGCCCAAAGTGTTAAATAGTGACTAGTAGACAGACTTAGATATATAAAGTATTAAAATCACTACATGGGCTTCCCAGAAACGTTTTCCTGCATTTTATTTAACATCTTTTATTTCTGTTATTGATTTTAGCGGTCATCTATCTACTAAAGAAAATGGCTTTTCTTTTGAATCAATAATTGTAATGTTTTAGCGGTAAAACAATACATCCTGTTTCATCATGAATCTTGCAGCATTATGAATCGTGAACCGGAGGAAATATGGTAAGATTCTGAATTGTCACCTTCCTAATATTAACATACAAAAACAATATACAACAAATACTGTATAATAAATATTTCAATCGTTTGTTTCCCTTTCTAACTCCAAGTAACACTGACCTAGGACTCAGTTTGAGAATGCATTTCCAAAGATCTGTGCGATGTCTTGTAAGCATGTGGTATGGAAATGGCCTTGTTTGGCGTGCGGCTGGTAAATCACATATTTTACGACGTGGCGGGAGATTTTGTGCTGCCCCCACATTTCTAAGCGTTCTTCGTCAGCGCTCCTTGTTTGTCATCATCTTTTAAGTCTATTTACTGCTTCCACAAATCAATAGACCAAAGTGAGGAGCGCTCCCCCAGATGTGCTCCACGGCTTCCAACATGATTTGAATTTAAAAAAAAAAATGACCCTAATTTTTTGTGTACTTGAAGAACTGCTCTTATTTGGTTTGAGCCTCATATAAAACAAATGAATGCTATGATTTTATTATTAGCAGGAATTATATGCAATTAATATCGCTAATACCAATAAACTACTACTCGGGCATATACTTTGCTCATTTAGCTGAATAATATTTCAGTTCATAGCTTTGTGTTTATTAAATTAAATTCATATATTTTACGGATATTTTCCTTCTTTTATCGATTGAGTGCTTCCTATATTACTTTACTAGAAAAAATAACAACTATGACCACAATTTGCTGTCTTCATCTCATTAGAAAACATTGTCTTGGCAAACGGGTCTGAAAAAGAACCCTGAGTGTCACTACGGAGGTCCTTTTCTGTCTGAAACTCTAGAGTTATGACAAAGGCCAAACAAAAAGGCATGTGAAAACTATACATAGAATAGGAGGATTTGAGTACAATATGACTGTCTTGAAATCAGTCAATGGAGATAAAAAATGTCTCACTTTTGGTCTTGTTTTTGATGTCATATGATTGGAAACTTAACATCTTATTCATAGTAGTATTCTTACAAATGCTCATACATTTATCTAGTTACATTCTATATTTACTGGCTTCATAGTGTTGTGTAGTTTTCTGATCGGGGCCATTCTTGCGGAGGCAGCTGAGCCTTGTCCCAGGACGGACGCCCCTCTCCAGCCTTCACATGACCACAGCTGGACATGGAGCACAACTTCATGCTCGATTACATAATCATCCTCATCATCATCATCCTGTCACCACCTTCTCATGTGGAGTTGCTAAATTAAAGCTGGCATGCCCAACGTACAAACCAAAAACAATTAAACTCTGTCATAAAATAAATGTCACTTGTTCCTCGCTCTGAAAGCAGTTTGGTTGTATCATTAGTTTTCAAGTGCATGTATTCTTATCGCCGTCACAAATCTACTGCGTACCATGCGGCATGTAACCTTGTGAAACTGGATCCTACTGAAACAAGGCCACCAGATGCATTTAAGAGCTCAGGGTGAAGCCATGCTCATGATAGAAATGTGTATTTGGACAGATAAAGGCCCCTCTGTCATGTTGTGAAGTACAGTTGTGATGCATTTTATTGTTTTGTTTTAGCTGTGTGAAGGAAAGCAAGACCTCACAGAAACATGAGTGCGTGTAATTGTGCTGCAGAAATGACTGGTGCTGCGGAAATTGTAAATAAATAAAGTGTTGCGTGATTACATTTGCCATCTACTGTACGCATAATAGTGATTTCATTTATAATTGCAGTTCCGAAGTTTATGTTGTGAGCCAAAGTTACGCGACAACTTTGAAAGCCCGGTCTGCCCTATTCAATACAATGTTTGCATATGCACTGACGCTAGAGTGGTCAGACCTGTTTGGAAGCAACGCAGAGTAGAGTCCGCTTTTATATGCATACTCTGTCTATCTTAAGCTTTGTGAAAATACTCTGCATGTGTAAAAAACGAGAAAAAATGTCTACAACATGATCAAAAGCTGTGAAAAGTAGATTTTGTTTGTTTTATGACCAAACCGTTGAAATTCATAACGACCAAATTCATATCCTGCAGCCCTCCCCCCTGTATCTATCTTCCTCTTTCTTCCCCCTGTCCTTCCTAACACGAGCTTCCTAAATGCGGCGTTTAGCGTCGTTTAGCGTGGTCAGGGAGCATGAAAAATGTGACACTTTTTCCCAGCCGTGGCACGCCTCACGCTCTGGCGCATCCCCTTTGTGCGGAGAGCATTGTTGTGGCTGATTTCTCCTCCGCTCGCCGAGAAGCCTACTGTATGAAGCACTCATGGCTGTCTGAGCTTTGGCATGCTCCAGTTGTGCTCTCTGGTGTGGCTGCATTAGCGGGCGAGCGGGGAGAGCGGGGAGAGGAGGGGGCGGGGGTGAGAGGTAGGGGGCAGAGTGTACAGGAGGCTGTGGAGAGCGAGCGGCGAAAGGCAAAAAAAGGTGGAGAGAGATGAGCAGATGTATCATGAGGCATTGTAAAGTAGATGTAGGGAGAAAGGAGTAGGACATTGAATTGAGGACTGAGATGATCCATGATATTTCACTATTTTCAACATGCACATTTCCTGTCTTTGCACACTCTGAGTGACGAGCAAGGGTGTATGTAAATGTCTGCATTGTGAGATCAATAAAGTTGATCTTATCTTATGCACATTTATGAGCATTGGTCATCTTGCTACAATCTTGGACCAATGGCTCCTACTATGTGTTTGTTATTGTTGCATTCCCTATGTTCGAACTGTTTGATTCTCTGATCTGTTGTTGGCGAATTGATAATTTTGTAAAATGTAATTGAATTAAAGTCAAGACCTAACAAGTTCCTGGCTCGCAAAACAGTTTGATTTGTGAAAATACATATATTTTCACATGTATGTACTGTATGCACTGTAAGTATTATCTTTCCAATCTTCATCATCACATCATACTTTTTTTTCATTGAGACTTTTCAGAAAGGACCATGGTCACGCAGCAAATCAGATCTCAATTTGCCAATTGAGACCACAAAAGCTTTGATTTTTGTTCCAATAGCTTTTCCATTCATACCTTGGCGTAGATAGCGGCCTCCATGACCTCTCCGTCGCGGTACCAGGTGATTTCGGCGGCCGGCTTGGCTCCAGAGGCTTTGCAGGTGAGGTTGTGCGGCGTGTGGGCCTTCAGACGCACCACGGGACCCCCCTCCACCACCGGGTCGGACGGAGCAACTGCACAAAGCCAAACAGAGTAGAGGAAAAATGATCACTCTGAACAAAAACACATTTCGGCTCCAAAGCTCATGCACTGGATCACTGGCATTGAGTGGGAGGCGCTGCAAGCTCCAAGTCAATAAATCGCTGCGGCAACAGTAAAAAGACATCCTTATGATTTAGCTAATTTATCTTTTTTGAGCTTTTAACCAGGTACCTCACTTTTTTCTTACATAATGGATTTTCTTTGCCCCAACAGATGTCTTGTAAAAGTATCATGTGTGAACAAACTGGATAACATGTTATATATATATATATATATATCTATTTGTTGTTACATGCTTCATATAGAGCCCTGTGAGCCTTTAATTGCCTCTTTGGGCTAAGAGCTGAGTAAGGGTGGTCCTCTTTTTTTCACTTTTTCTTTTACTGAAAAAGCGGATCTAAAGATGTGACATGTACTGTCTGTGAAAACTAGGTCCCTCAGCTTTATTGTGTTTATAATCATTACGATATGGCGAACCCTCAGATTAGAACATCATGGACAGAGCTGGTGTCCTCTTTATAAAACAAAAGCTTGCCTTGAAATAAGTTTTATTATTATTTCTTGAATCAACTTCTTTAAGACAAAACCATTTTAAATAGTAGAAGAAGTAGATATTACTTCTCACTTCTTTTACTAGACAGGAGTGTTTTGCTAATCTTGGCCAGCCTGCTTTTATTTTCTCCATCTATTTCCTATGTAAAAGATGTACTTCACATTCTAAAACTTGGAAATACCAAAGTCCATACATTGAGCAAAAATAATGTGTGGTATTTGCTCGTCATTCAGAAACAAGCTCTTATATTCATTCCAAGGGGGAGGAACCTTATTGCTCTATTTGCTCTTACTGTTGCCAAGTGATCTTTCAAGTGAATTGCTTATTTGTTCATTTATTTGCATGGTTTCGCACGCACCATTGGCAACCCAAGCATGCCAGCCCCTGATGAAGGCGCCCATCTCCCTGACCAATAAGAGCAGGCGTAAACATGGAGTTTGCGCTGGCCTTTCTCGCTCTTTCCACCGAACCAATTTCACTCTGTGTATCTGAATTGTCAGAGGTCCTTCCGCCGCCGCGCTACGGACACTAATGGAATCCGAGAGCTAGGTGATTTTAATTTCCATGCCGATTCCCCCGACTGCACTCCTGGGCGGGCTCCTTTGACTGCGGCTGGATTGCTTTGGTGTCGTCTGGCCACATTGATGTACGCACACACACTGAACCGCCCTTTTCAACCGCGGGGTCCAGCTTTACCTTTTATGTAGACGTTACATTTGAGAAACGGCGAGTAACGGCGTATTTTGGCATAGAGTGGGCCCCAAAGAACTTCTTTTTAGATTTTAACATGAACATCTTCAGCGGAGAGCTCAAGCAGTGGTTAAGATGGAGTTGTTCTCATGTGTATAATTTATTTTAATTTTTTGAAATGTATCTTGTCTTCTGTAATGTAAAAGCCCCCTGTGGACCAGTGTTGAAAACTAGCTGATGTACTGTCACACTTCCAACAATGCATCTGGTTCATCCAATGTTATTCTTATATCCATAAAAAATACATAAATAGATACATATAAATACATAATTATTTTTAGCTTATGTTGATTTTCATAGACGAGACACACAAGTGTACACAATCACATTAATGGGACCATAATGTTAAATTCTTCTTTTATATGTGTCCCCAGGAAACGGGTCACATGTATAAACCATATATTTTTTTACCTCTGTGCTTTTTACAAGTCTTACAAGAAAATAAAATAAAAAAATACATATTTGTAGTGGTTCGCCAGTAGCTAACTGCATTCTGCTACTATTGAGCTAAAATACTGTCTTTGATAATGCTCTTTGTGGTTCTTCTGAAAGACAAGTTAGATGTATTACCTTGTTAACATGTTTTGGCTGTATCAAAGTATACATCTAACTCATTTTTCAAAAGAACCACAAAAAGCATTTTAACTCAAAACAAAATGAACCTTTTTGAATGATCTCTTTGATAATATTTACTAAAGCAATTATACGTTCTCTCCATTAAGGGCATTTCTTTGTTTGTATGTGATTATCTCCACTTCTACTGGAGTGCTGTTGTCACCTCTGCTGGCGTTCATACTTGTAATGTGACTGTAAGTGGCTTGATTATGTTTGGTTCCTGCCTCCACTCGGACATCTTTGACTCAGCGCAGAGTGGGCGGCCGATGACCAGTCCGCCTCAGGACCTTTGCTTTTCGCCGTGACACTAAACTTATGAAATGTGGGCAGCCTCCAATGGTCCTCTGAAGCGTGTTATTACAAACCAATGGCCTTTCCATGGAAACCCCGTCTGTGATGCTCATCTCTAGGTTTTTTTCTCCCACTGTGGCCCGGGGTTTTTTTAGGGTTGTGCTGAGATGCTGTGTTGACGGCGAGTTTGTTAGACCCGTTTTGGCTTTTCACCACGGGGAAGACGAAAACATGTCACAATATTACATTATAATGGATGACAGCATTTGTTACATTCATGTGGAGCAAGATAAGCATATAAAAAGGAAAGATTTATGTGACATCACAGCATTCCAAAGCCACTATGGTTTAACATTGTGGAGCAGGGCAGCTGAAATATCTTCTTGGTGATTGAGGTGCCACAGCCAGATTTTTTTGAGTTTAGAGCAATCCACAAAGCCAGTGCAAAGTTAATCAGCTATGGTTAAGAGAAGTCTATAACCATTAGAAGTGATGACAATACTCAAAGACAAATGAATAAACAAACAAAAACGCAAGATGTTGGCCAGTTGAAAGGCTTTGAAAATCAAATCCCCATCAAATATTTTTTTTTTTATCCTCAGAAAACATTTGGACATTTTCTTTTTCAAAATGTATCCAAAATTGCTTTTTCCTAATCACCTGCCCTTCAACTGAAACACAAATCTTGAACTCGACACAACCTATTGTCCCTTGTGTAATGTGGGTTTATAACCTATAATAAATATAAACATGTTTTATAGATTTTTTTTAATTGCCAAAAACACTGAACAAAGGGCAGTAAGAAGACTAGGTCACAAGTCGGGTTAAATGACGAGTTGTTGTGTCACACCAGCCCTTGTCTCTCAGTGTGTGAGAAAGTGGCAACCTGGGTTTTTTGGGCAAAAATCCCATATTTTTTACGCGGTGGGACTGAGTGACTACATGAACTGGCACCTCGATACCAACAGCTTGACTCAAGGACGACGCAATCTGCTATAAGAAGCTGTAATTCCTGTGAGGCTACACTTCCTTGTGCTGGTAAGCAAATGTAAACACAATTGACAGCTTTAATTAATAGACGGATGTTCCTTTACATGCCAGCAGATGCCAGCAGTGCTATGGCGTATCCATCTCCCAAAAGGCCCCCCCCCCCTTCATCCGCCACTGCCCCCCCTCCTCCTCCTCAGCCCGTTTTGAAGTCCCACATGAAGAAGTAGATCACTCACATCATGTTAATGTAGAATGCGCAGTGCAGTAGCTGACGAATGTTGTGGCTCATTGTAGAATGTGCTAACAGTGCAAACCCTGACTTCCAAGTGTCGTTTGTGACCGCGGCAATCACATTACCGCGCTCTGATTATCACTTCTGAGACGTGGACGGGCCATATTTTTTCACAATCTCCTGGCTAAGCATTAATATGAGACATTAGAGGCGTGAGCTCGCAAGAGGTGTTTGTCATGTTCCTTCAGTTCGTCACCGGAAAAAATAGTGAGGCTGGGGGTCTGTCGAAGCCTGCTCATAATCTCATTTAAAGTTATAATTACACTTTGAAAAAACTATTATCAAATCTCTCTGATTAGTTCCTATCACCAGTTCTCACATGCACGTACTGTATGTGTACCCTCTGTTTGAAAAATTTGAAAAAGCTTCCAGCCCAAAGAGTAAAACAATGCCTTTTTCTTACACAAATGCAAAAGATCACATGTTTTCTGATATTCTTGAAGAAGGTTTGACGTCTAATTTGTTCACAACTTTTTATGAGGACAAACAATATGGATTATACAGTATAGAAAATGTGAAAGGAGGGTGTAAGGACATTGGTGAGGATCCAGGACACTTGACATTCAAAAAGATTTATGGACATTGGTCAACTGCCCCTTATGGACAAATTAATCTATGTGTTTTCATCATCGCATTTCTTGTGTTTGAACTGTTTTATTCTCTGATCTGTGTTGGCGAATTTGATGCTTTTGCAAAGTCCTCCGAGATAACAACTGTTGTGATTTAGGGCTATACAAGAATACATTCTATTGAAGTAAACTGAATAAGTACAATATTCATAAAACAAACTGCAGGTAACTTAACTCAAAAAACAAGATACATTTTCTGTAATTCAAGCATGTTTCCTCTCCACTTGTGTCTGCTCAAATCCCATGTGTGCTCTGTAATGGAGCTAGTGCGCAACGGGGCCGCCTGTCTCGGCTCGCGCTACCATGGCGGTGGATCGTGTTTCTTACCCAGTACAGTGAGCTTGGCGCGATGGGAGCGCAGTCCTGCCTGCGTAGCCTGACACTCGTACACCGCGTCATCCACCAACTCAGCCGAATCGATCAGTAAGCTGTGCTCTCCTGATAGAGGGTCGCCCATTAAGGAGTAGCGCATCCAGCCTGCGTGAAGCCAAGAGGACGAGTATTAGAGAGGAAAACAGACCATAATAAACATATATGGAAGTAACATGTGCTGTCAACAAGCCACGAAACTAAAAGCTCATTACAGAGCACAATACACACAAGGAACGCGGCGTGTTAAGGTCAAGAGGAATTCCTGCTGCCTACGAGCCGCTTCCAACTCGTTTAAATGCCAAGACGGAAGAATTGATTATCTACCTTACAAGACTATTGCAGAAGCTACACCTGGTTTCTTTCATGTACTGGAGAAAAAATGTCTTCACTCTTCACATTTTCAAGAGACTCCCATTACAGGAGACATGGAAAAGTCGTCACTCTTGAACTTTAAACCATGTTACGAAAGTCTATGGCTACGACGCTGTTCATTGAAACTGAGGCGCCTAACTTTAGAAAAATCATAAAAATGTAACATGTAAAAGTCAATCAAACTAGATCCTCGCTGTCAAAACGGGTTGGTTCTTTAGGTTTCACATGCATGTAATTGTCTGCCTCTCTCACAGCTTAAGATTTTCAGATGGAAAAAGTGGAAAAGCTGTCTGCCCAGAGTGTCAGATTGTGACTCACAGGGCTCTGGTGATGAGGATGGAATGCTGTGCTCTGATTTGTTCACAAAAATATACATTTGTCACTCATTCGGTTGAAAAAAACACAATTATTTCACAACAACCCTGAGGTATGTGAAGTATGTTTTTTTCCCATCTTTACTACAGGGGTACAACTACAGCAGAGCACGTACCTGGTAAGTCTCGCTCTCCGCCCAGGGCCAGGCCGTCTTTGGTCCACTGCACCATCCCCCTATAGCCCACGATCACACAGGGGAGGGTCACCGACTGCCCCGCCACCACCGTCTGGTCCTTGGGCTGCTGCGAGAAGTAGGCCGCTTTGGAGGCTCCTGCAAGAAAGATGTTGAAGGTTAAGATGGTTTGATTGGAATGTTTATCAAGTCAAAGATGCAGCCAATGACAGTGAAGTAATCCTATGTAATTTGACCTTTTTCTCATTGGATGATTTGTATTCTGAAATCAAGTAAATATTTCTTGTAACTAGTGTTTGGTTTGAAAACAACCAAACCCATAGTATTTGCCTTATTGTGGAAGAAGTTGATTTAGAGCTTACGCAAACAGGCTTCATGATGGGAAACTTCAGCCAAATTCATGGGTAGTAACAGCCTAGCAACCAAAGAGCCAATCAGAAGAGCGTCTTATCTGTCCCTGCTCGTGCTAATCGCAGCTGAGGCTGAATAAAGGGACAGAAGGCACCGGATTTGATCAGATTTTTATTTACAAAATTACTATGCAAATGTTTCATCCAAAAATGGTCAGCGTGACACAAATGGTTACGGAGTAAGAGTTTACTTTTCAATGGAAGTGAATTGAGCCAAAAGCAGTTGGAGCAAAACGTCACCATGAGAACATACCCTTTGATCTTCATAGAACTAGCAGGTTAGCACTTTTCCAACCTTAACACAATTATTGCTTCAAACCAGTGAATAATAATGTGAATAGAAGTTCAATTTAAACAAGGTGATAACGCCGAGAAAGATGTTTCAACAATGTTACCTTCAACAAACTAGTGTTCAGGGAAATTCCTAGGTAAACACTCAATCTGTGTCAGTTAGATTACTTTAGTACCAGCTCGGCATGGATAGACATAGAGATATTTAAGCACGTACAAAAAGTGTACCTGGTACCAGTTAAACAGGGCAGATAGAAACACTCCCAAATCAGACCAGAGTGGAGCCAAGAGAGGGCAAGTGGAAACGGGGCTCCAGTAACTTCCTTTCATTGAACAGCAACCGAACAGACACATTTTCTCTTAGACAAGACGGAATGCGAAAGTGACAAGAAAGCTCACGATATATTAAGTGCAAACTGATGTTAACACAATGTGAAATGCATAAAATAACATCCCATCGCTGATTCCAACGCGCTCCGACGGGGCGGCTGCTGAGAACATGCGAAAAAACGCCTGTGTTTTCCGTCAGAAGCGCCTCATCACTTATTTAACTCTTTCTCCAACACCGTATGGTTATCTGTGTGTTGGCATGAAGCAAAGTGGTATCTCGGGAGGAAAATCTGCCCGCCGTTCTTGTGCTTTTTAGTAAAAATGGATGTTAAACAATCAAAAGTGCATTAAAGTTCCCGCGGGAGGCATGGGTTTGGGGAAGGCGGCAGAGAGACACACCTGCTGCTTCTTTTAAGGCGGCGTGTTTAAGTGTATTCTAACTGAAGGACTGGCGGCTTCTGCCTCACACACAGGCACAATGCACAATGAACGCGGCGTGAAAAGGAATCCAACTGTGTGTGTGTGCGTGTGAGTGTGTGTGTGTGTGCGTGTGTGTGTGTGCGAACGGCTTTGGTGAGGGATTTTGGCACAGATGGAGCCGTTTTCAGGTCGGGATACAGTTTGGCAGAGGAAGAAAAGTTTGATTTTGTTACTCAAGTATAAGCATAGAGACATGAAGAGAGAGGATTTGGAGACAGTTGTAACTCAAGAAGTATTTACACACATTGTAGATCTGATATTTCTAAAGCGATCTCTGTGTGTGGATTTTATTATGTTTTTGCTCAAATGTTCACGTAAAAACGGCAACACTCACACAGTATCCACTAAGCACTTAAAGCTTAGTAAAATGTATCTAGTTCAATAATTTGTGTAGTTTGTTCCATGAAGTCTATTATAAAAGTTAAATTTTGTGACATGAATTTGCAACATATTGTACTTTGCATAGTGGCTGAGTGAGGAGGGTCCTCTTTGTAGCTTTTTCGCAAAAATAATAGCTTGGTATAATGTGTATAATCAAATAATTGTTAGCTCTAGTGTGAACACAAGCAAAGTAACCTGCGTGGCTCTAAATATAGGAACTCTGTGATTAGAGAAAGTAGTTGTTGATACTTGTAGGGCTTTAGCAAGTAAGTTGTCTAATTTCGTAATACTGAGAAGAGTATTTCTATACGGCTGCAGAATGAATATGTGTTTACAAAGATTCATAACAACCCAATATGTGACAAGTCATCTCTGTTACGAGGCTCTCCAGGGGCATCACTGGAGTTTTGTTTTTTTCAAATGAAGAAAAAAATCCACTCAGCTTTTCGGGTACCAAACAACTAATCAATTAATATAAAGAATAATCAGGCCATTCATTGATTATCAACCACCTTGATGCCCTGTTGCTAAAAAAAATCTGTTTTTCAATGATCCTAGAGCTCACTTTCAGTGAACGTAAATGCATTGTGGTGTCTGTATCACCCAATTCATCTTTTGTTATCACATCAAAAAAACTGTTAATTGCAGCCCTTGTTACTTGCATATGTGAAAAAGTCATGCCATAAAGGACATACTCCACTCCTCACTGTGCTCGATAACTCATCCACATGGTACGGTAAAGCACAGGCTGGTTATGTGCATGCCTGTGTTCGTCCGTTGGAGGGGGGACTTAAACTCTCCTTTTTTTTCCACTTCTTTGTTGCGCTGCGGAGAATGGTTGGGAAGCGGGACAGCGGAAGATAAAGAGCGCTCTATTCAGCCGGTGTTAAACCTCCACCCCCCCACCCCCTCCTACCCTCCTCCTTGGCTTCTCGTGGTGGGAGCGCTTAAACAGACAGGCTTGGACCCCCACCCTTCCGTCTCCGTTCTGATCCAAGCAAAAGAAAGCTGCTGAAAAGGAGGGCAACATACGGTGGCCAGAGACACGCTATTGTCCCCTTGTCCCAGTCTTTTAATAGGCCTCTTCATTTCCAATCAATCCTGCTAAATGCAAGTTTAATAGCTTTTCAATAGGAGCTTTCCCCCCCTCCTGAGGGTAGCTCGTTCCCAGCTCTACCCCTGCGCTTCCTTGCACTTCATTCTCGCTGCATTTCTTTGGTTTACAAAAGTGCGAATACAGGGGGGTCTTTGAGAGGTTGTTGCCGGAGTTTATTCCCGACTCAATTATCCACTTCATCTTGGGGCGCGCCGTGAACTTAACCCCGATGCCTTGGTTGCCCCCCACCCCAGAGCACTCAGCGGTTTCTGCAAGGTGCATTGTGGGCTGCTATGCAAGTTCAAAGATGTCTGACTGTTTATTTAGGCTTTCTCTGGCCATAGATGCAGCTACAGAGTGAATGGGGGTACTGCTTTATTTATAGAAGCTGAGGTATCTCACTTTATAACAACAGAATACAATAAAAAAATAAATCCTCTATCTAGTTCCTCGCTCTACAAACAGTTGGATTCCATCACTAGAAACACATCTTTCGCTTTTTTCAGACAGGAAAATTAGAAAGAGAGGACCACCTTCCTAGCTAATCAGCACTCCGCCTAAAGTGTCAAAAAGTGACGCACAACTTACTGTGATCAAGATGACTCAAATGTATACGTTTTATTTCCTTGCACAACCCAAACAAAAAGCAGACCTTTATGATGAATATTGCTGAGGTTTTTTGGTTCCATAAATAATGCATTATGTTTGTTCCAACAGCAAATCTTGGAGAGAAAAAATTGGACACAACCTGTGGTCTTCATCTTACTAGAAAACATGTTATCTTTTGTTGTAAGAAGAAGCCTTTTCAGTCAATATATGACTCTTTGGGACAGAGAGGTTTAAGAGTTAGTAACTGGTGAGATGGATTGTATTATCTAGTTCTATTTATTGTGGTTTAAAGTTTAGGTACCCCAGCTTTAAAAATATACATGTTTTGATATTTTCCCCAGCTCTAAGAGTACAGTACAATAGAAGTCAATACACAAACATGTCTTTGCAAGTTTATGGAAGTCCACAATCTAGTGTCTGTGCAGGCTCCGCTGTGGCTCAAAACAGACCAATTTGTAAAACTTCAAATGAGAAATGAAGCAGGCTATTACACATTTAGTGAAGGCTGGCATTTCCCCCCACTCACAGCCAGAGAAAGTGTTGTTTCTCCAAGTCTCAGTTAATCTTCGAGTGGGGATTGAAACACGTTTTACCCACAATAGCGCAAAACATCAATTGCAATTAAGCATTTCGCCCGGAGTATCGAAATGTTTACAATGATAATAATAACTCTGCTTCGTAGCCTGATTGTTGTGATGGATTACACGCGTCAGGATTGTTGTCTTTGCTTCACCCACGTGCGATTCTGCACGCTCAAACATGGCAATTATCATCTCTCAAGCCGATGCATACGTCATGTGACAAATTTAACATATAGGCGCATTTGCAATGGTGCGTTGGCCTTGGCGCGTCGCGTAGAGAGAAGAACATCTCCACTGGCTAATGACTCATGCCAGATTCTTTAATTCCTCCTTGCTGAATTAGACGATTCTTTGACGGCGTATTAGCGGCTTAATTACATGAATACATTTCTGATGTAGGGGAGAGCGCGGAGGGGGAATGGAACAGAAAGTACGCGCTGAGAAAGTGGAGGATAAATGAGGGAAGGTGGGTGTGAGGGGTGCGCTGTGCTGCCGGGACAAACACAAACATGGATCAGTTTGTTATGAGCAGCTCCGGCTGGCTGCCAATGAGTCTGTCAGTGTAAAGCAACAATCTTTTTGACATTAAAGGAGACATATCATGAAACTTAAAAAAATAAAAAAAAGCATTGACCTGGTTTTTTGGTCCATCCATTCTAATTATAAGGAACTTCTAATGCAAATAAGTACTGTATACATTCACTTATACAAATGACACCTGTAAAAAGGGTAGAGCACTAGCTTCAGCCTACACCTTTTCCGTTTTTGTGCTGTTAAGTTACTTCCCTGTAATGGTGCCTATAAATGTGACTGAAAAAAACCCAAAAAAACTTAAGTCATTAATTTGTAACTTCTGTCTGAAAGTCTCACTCCTATGATAGCCTGATGTCATTGTAGCACTATAATATCGCACTCAAAGCTGTTTACTGCCTTATAGAACAAAAGGATTTCCACTGAATT